GTCTCTGCTAGTTCTACCGCTCGGTTTCGGCCTCACACTTCGGCAGGCCCGTCGATTTCCTCGAGCGTTCTTCCTCGGATGGCCGTCGCTTCCGTGAGTGCATGCTCCTCGTCGTCAGCTGAGCACCTGTCGTTCGCGGAAGTCCTGAGCATCTGGAGGAGCCGCGAAGCGGTTAAGCCATCCCGCGTGCAAGTTGAAGTGACGCTGAGACCCGCGACTGCATGCGCGGCGCCTTGTGAGGCTACTGTTGAAGTTGAAGCGACTGTGGAGTCCGCTGTTGAGTCGCCTTCGGAGTTGACTTCCCAGGCGATTCCCGAGGAGATCTCCACTTGTGAATCGACCCAGCTGCAAGTGACGCCGAGCTCCGCGCCTGCGTGCGCGGCGGCTGCAGAGGAGGAGGAGACGGAGGAGGATCTGAAGAGTGGCTGCAAGCAAACGTGCGCTGGCAGCGACGACAGCAATGAGACGATTTCCGTCAGCTTTTCTGTCAGCAACAGCAGCGTCACGAGTTGTGAGAAGCACGTGAGGATGGACGGTGGTGACGCGAGCCCCATCACACTGCCAGCCTCCCTTGTGCTGCTGCTGCACTCGCTGCTGTTGTTGCTGCAGGTGCACTTGCTGCTCGCGTCACTGCTGCTGCCGCTGCTGAGAGTGGTGCTGCCCTGGTGGATTCCCAAGGCAGGCAGCACAGGAGCGCGTGTGAAGGTGGATGGTGTGGAGGGGAAGGCTTGGAATGCACGTGGGGGTGCTGTAACCAACCAGAAGCCCACAGCAAGCAGCATGAGGCAGCAGCAGGAGAAAGAGCACGCTGTGAAGTGCAGAGGGAGGAGGAACGCTGGCAGCACGACCAAGGCAGCCGCAAAAGCAAGCACAAGGAAATAGTTCTTTACAAGAACACCCAGATGGCTTCAATAGCTACGCTAGCTGAATGCAGGCCTGCTTGATTAACTAGCTGTGTGCAAATCTGTAATATATACTAGTACTGTGAATGCCTTCAATTCAAATCATGAAGTTTTTTGAAAGTGTGTAACACTTTCTAAAAATGTGTATTTTGAAAGCGAAGCTGCTTGTAATGCAGCAATGGCAACCGCGAAGTGCTAGACGCTCTTCGCCAACTATATAGCAGGGGGTGGAGGCCATTTGGCCTCCACCCACGTCTTCATTTGAAATTTCAACTGCATTATTTCATTCTCGTCCGACTACCTGGTGCTTCTCGCTTTCCTTAGTCCCTTACTTTCCTCAAGAAATAGTAGGCAACCTCGGTTGACCTAGCAATACGAGTTTCAAAAATGACCAGCGGGTACACCCGTCCCTACAATAGGTGCGCATGTTGGGGCTAATAGGGCGACAGCGCCACTGGCGCGCGTGGTGACGAAATCGCCACAGGTGCGTGTGGCGACGAAATCGCCACGGGCGCGCGTGGCGACGAGATCGCCACAGGCGCGCGTGGCGACGAGATCGCCACAGGCGCGCGTGGCGACGAGATGGCCACAGGCGCGCGTGGTGAAATCGCCAACGGCGCAATTGGCGCCAGGGGCGCTCATGGCGCCGAAATGGTCAAGATTGCCTCTGGCGCATGTGGCTACGAAATCGCCAGTGGCGCGCCAGAAACGAACTGGCATGGCAGACGCGATTTTGTTGCTGAAATTCGTCTATGGAACACCTGTTACTTCGCAAATGTTCCCTTCATTTTTTTTTCCTTTATACGTATGTTCGGTTTTTGGCTTGTCTTCGTTTTCAGTCGTGTTATTTCTTAATTTTTGGTCGCAGTAAATTGGTGCGAGGCAACTACCACAGCATTGCGTCGCCTTCAGAGACCATCTGCCAAGAGAAACTACGGCAAACATCTGGTACAACTCTGTGCGCTCCCGTGGGAGATTGGGACACCCCCGGGGGGTCCCGCACGAGCCAGAAAAGGACTGGTGGGTCCTGTGCGGTGCAGGCCAGCGAGCTCCCCAGGGGGGAGGAGGACCGGTGGGTCCTGTGCGGTGCTGGCCAGCGAGCTCCCCAGGGGGGAGGAGGACCGGTGGGTCCTGTGCGGTGCTGGCCAGCGAGCTCTCTAGGGGGGAGGAGGACCGGTGGGTCCTGTGCGGTGCTGGCCAGCGAGCTCCCCAGGGGGGAGGAGGACCGGTGGGTCCTGTGCGGTGCTGGCCAGCGAGCTCCCCAGGGGGGAGGAGGACCGGTGGGTCCTGTGCGGTGCTGGCCAGCGAGCTCCCCAGGGGGGAGGAGGACCGGTGGGTCCTGTGCGGTGCTGGCCAGCGAGCTCCCCAGGGGGGAGGAGGACCGGTGGGTCCTGTGCGGTGCTGGCCAGCGAGCTCCCCAGGGGGGAGGAGGACCGGTGGGTCCTGTGCGGTGCTGGCCAGCGAGCTCCCCAGGGGGGAGGAGGACCGGTGGGTCCTGTGCGGTGCTGGCCAGCGAGCTCCCCAGGGGGGAGGAGGACCGGTGGGTCCTGTGCGGTGCTGGCCAGCGAGCTCCCCAGGGGGGAGGAGGACCGGTGGGTCCTGTGCGGTGCTGGCCAGCGAGCTCTCTAGGGGGGAGGAGGACCGGTGGGTCCTGTGCGGTGCTGGCCAGCGAGCTCCCCAGGGGGGAGGAGGACCGGTGGGTCCTGTGCGGTGCTGGCCAGCGAGCTCCCCAGGGGGGAGGAGGACCGGTGGGTCCTGTGCGGTGCTGGCCAGCGAGCTCCCCAGGGGGGAGGAGGACCGGTGGGTCCTGTGCGGTGCTGGCCAGCGAGCTCCCCAGGGGGGAGGAGGACCGGTGGGTCCTGTGCGGTGCTGGCCAGCGAGCTCCCCAGGGGGGAGGAGGACCGGTGGGTCCTGTGCGGTGCTGGCCAGCGAGCTCCCCAGGGGGGAGGAGGACCGGTGGGTCCTGTGCGGTGCTGGCCAGCGAGCTCCCCAGGGGGGAGGAGGACCGGTGGGTCCTGTGCGGTGCTGGCCAGCGAGCTCCCCAGGGGGGAGGAGGACCGGTGGGTCCTGTGCGGTGCTGGCCAGCGAGCTCCCCAGGGGGGAAGAGGGCTGGTGGGTCCTTTTTGGTCTGTGGGTCATTTGTAAGGTAGATTAATGGTTGTGCAGTCTTTGTAATACTTTGCAATTACCTTATGATGAGCCCTTACAGTGCAAGGTTGGGATGCGGTCACACTTGAGTTGGTTGATTGAACAAACGTGGTGAGTCTGAAATGGTGCACAACTCTAGCAGATCATACCTATACTCATTGGGAAAAATAAAAGAAGAATAATAATAAATAAATAACCACGCAGGGCTTAAACGCCGGCAGATTCATCTGGATACCAGAAAGTTTCATGTACTCTTTGGGATACGAGCACGATTGTGACCACAAGGGTCGGGCTCATTCCGTACAACTTGTACGGTACAAGCTCACACCCATCATCAACACAACATACCGTACCAACGTCCGCTGCCCGAGTCCTTCCATACTGTTGCGGGTTCGTGTAAGAAGCCTACGTATCAGCCATCTCCCATTGATCAACACGCCTGTGCTACACTTGGCGCGACACCCCATCCAATGCAACGACAGAGATTAACATCATCACCAGCAACATCGGTACAAGCATCCGCTACGTGTGCGAGCGGACCACCACCCACATGTCATCTCGCAAACGATCAACAACTCCCGTCGCATGTCTCAGAAGACCCATTTGAAACGAAGCACGTTGCCATTGCAAACACAAGAAAGCAAGCTTTCTAAATATGAAGTTTTTTGAAAGTGTGTAACACTTTCTAAAATTGTGTATTGTGAAAGCGAAGCTGCTTGTAATGCAGCAATGGCAACCGCGAAGTGCTAGACGCTCTTCGCCAACTATATAGCAGGGGGTGGAGGCCATTTGGCCTCCACCCACGTCTTCATTTGAAATTTCAACTGCATTATTTCCCACCCACCCACCCTAGCAAAAACTGCATGTTGTAATGTAGGTATGTATACTTAGCCTGACGAGAATGTTGTAATGCCCATTTGAAACGAAGCACGTTGCCATTGCAAACACAAGAAAGCAAGCTTTCTAAATATGATATAGCGTTTTCAAGTTGAACCCATGATGTGCACTTGGGATGTTGTTACCAGAATTACCAAATCACATGGTTGAGATGATTGTCTGCTGATTGCCCAAAATTGACTGCACTGCAACATTCTTTGCATGGTTAAGGGAGCACTCAAATACTTCCTACTCCAGGACCACAATGGTAAACCCACCCCATTCTTAAGTGATCAATAAACCAGAGTCACAGGATACTCAAGCAAGCATGAGGGGATGAATGATAAGGGAGGAGGGTGGGTGGGTGGGTAGAGTGAGGTAGCAAGAATCAGGCACAGGCATCCCTTGCACTGACACACCTGCATCCCTCCCAACCAATCCGCCTTCCCATCCTCCACTGCACTTCTCCGTCCTTCCTTTACCTCCTGCTGGCCTCGCACACAACACACACAGCTGATTTCCGTCTCACCTCCCCTCCTCTCCCTCCTTACTCTCCTCCACAGGCACCCACTAACCCTCCGTTCACACTCACCTCCCATCCATGTCCACCTATCCTTTAACCCCTGTTTTTAAAGGCAGCAGAGACCTCCCTCCTAGCCAACGCCATCCTTCCTCACCTCTCCCGCACTGCTGCCACCAGACACTTGCCATTTCTGGGGGACTAGTCTTCTGTCGGCACACTCGCCACCCATGATTCAGGCAAAGTGCCATCAGGCCGCAACAAAGGCTGCTGATCAGGCTCGTGCCATGCCATCAGGTCACCAAGATCAGGCTGCAACACGGCCTCCTCCTGGCCCCTTCCTTCCCCTCGCAACCCATGGTCCACAAAACTTCTCTTTCCAATCGCATATCTCTGCCCCTACCCAACTCTTTCCGTGTACTCCTCGCCTCCCACTCATCTCCTCTCCTCTCTCTCCTCTCCTCTCCTATCCTCTCCCTTTCCCCAGATCCGCCTTCCCCTTCCCCTACTTTCCCTCCGCACCCCCTCCCTCTTCTCTCCCTCCGCGCGCGCGCTCACTCGACGGCGACGGTGGCGCCGACGGCTTTGAGTTTCTCGGCGATGGCGGCGGCGTCTTCTTTGCTGACGCCGGCCTTGACGACGATGGGCGCCTTCTCAACGAACTCCTTGGCCTCCTTCAGCCCCAGCCCCGCGATGCTCCGCACCTCCTTGATCACCTTCAGCTTCGCCGCCGCGTCGAACCCCTCCAGCTTCACGTCGAACGCCGTCTTCTCCTCCTTCGCCGCGCCCGCCGCCGCACCCGCTTCCGCGCCGCCGCCGCCGCCGCCGCCGCCGCCGGGCATCGCGCCGCCCGGCATCATCATCATGCCCATCGGCATGCCGCCCATGCCTGCGTTTGCCGGCATGCCGAGCCGCTTGCGAATCACAGCCGTCAGTTCCGACATCTCGAGCAACGTGAGCCCTAGGATCTCGTCTGCCAGCTTCCCTACGCGCTCTGACGGCGGGGCTGGGGTTTCCGCCGAGTTGGGGGCAGCGGGGGGATCAGAAGCGGAGGGGGGCGGATCGGGGGAAGACGAGTCGGCGGGTGCGGCGTCGGCGGCGGAAGAGAAGGGCGCGCGGGAGATGGCGCGGAGGGGGGAGTGGGGAAGGCAAGAAGCGGGGGCGGACGCGGGGAGAGGGGAGGTGAGTGAATGGAGTGATCGTTGCTGCTGCTGCTTCTGCCGCTGATGCTGCTGCTTCTGCTGCTGCTGCTGTTGCTGGGAAGCGGAGGCGACTGCGGGAGTGGAAGATTGCGGTTGTTGCGTGAGCGGGATATGCGGGGCGATTGGCGGCGAGTGGAGCGACGCTAGTGATCGGCTGAGAGCGACGAGAGCGAGAGCGGCGCGTGAATGGCACGGCGATAACGGGGAGATCGGAAGCGAGGGGATCGTCGGGGCAGCGCTAGCGCCCCCGCTCGCGCCGCGCCGAAGCGCGCCGATCGTTCGAAGCATGGTGCTTGGCTCCGGAATTGGAGAATGCAGAAACGAATGTGGAGAGAAGCTACGTGCTCCGGTTATGGATAAGGGGGCCGCGCAGGGCGGCGAACAGCTCAGGAGTCAGAGATTCAAATCTGATCGATCTGAAATCTGCGGTTCAACGAGACCTCTAGGAAACGCAGTCTACAGAGAGAGCGGCTAGAGAGCAGATCCATCAACAGGAAGATCACGGCGTGATTTGATCTCGACTCGACTCGCTTCCGCTCTGCCTGTAGTTCCCACGGTCCCAGGCGCTTTGTGCGCTGTCGATTATTATTGCTACTCCTAGGCCGTTATGGCCAACCGCACTTGGCCCCTGGTGATGGACTTCCGAAATCGTTGCGACAACGAGTGGCGAAAAGCATGTGCGATGTGTAACTTACTACGATTGTGTCGTCAGTGGCTATGGAGGGCTGCTGGTTTGCTTGTTGTGTCGCGAATGCTGACGTGGAAAATGATTATTTTTTCTGGAAGGTGTGTGGAAGGATGTTTAGGACGCGTCACAAGTAAAACATCGATCCTGCCTAGATCGGTGTTTAGGTGGTTACATGGTTTCGTTTATTTTTGCTAACGTACAGTTGTCCCTTCGAAGTCAGGCGATCGATGTGCCCTTGTCACACATCGATCGTGCAATTTCGTCGACTTCGGGCAATTTTGCCCCATGTTTTTACGATCGTGTCACTTGAAACTTCAAAGCAGTCGTGACACACCGATATGGCGATCGGTCTGGCAGGTTCGGTGAACACCCCGAACCTTCCTCGGTATTCTACTTGTGACGCGTCCTTAACCGCCTTTTTTGACCCCCTTTCAAACGGTTCCACTAACTGTTAGCGGTTTTGTGTAACAAGAATCTGACTACCATTTATAGAACCTTTTGGTGAATAATGATGTACCTGGCTGTCAATTTATGAGAATTATACTGAGATTTGGGTAATTTTTATTTTTCATATAATATAAAGTCAATACTGGGTCTATCAAGCAATCAACAATTTCAAGCTCAGACAACAATTAAGCTATTAACTACACCGTTACTTTCTTCATTTTTCCTCGATAAGGCACTCTAAGCCACACCTCCTTTTCTGTCCCTCTTTTCTCCGCATCCCCCCCACCTCCTCCTCCTCTTCCCCCCACCACCTCCCCTACCCTAGGGGCTTTAGGGCCTTCCTCGCTGCTAGCTGCTTGCTCCGCGGCGGCTCTTGCTCCCTCGAGAGCTCGACCAGGTCTCATTCGGCCTCTAGGGCGTTTCGGGCTGCTGTCTTAGTCCGATCCCAGGGTCCTAGACTCTAGGCTGGAAAATAGGCGCGGCTCGTTGGCCCGTCGCTTTTGCCTTAGTTTCGCTCCCTTGTGTTTCCGACCAGGCTTTAGCCTCGAAATCTGTAGCCAGTTCTACCCGCACGTCCACCGACCAAGCAATCTGCACTTTACGCCCTTTGTATCCCCGCGCCTGCCGTATTCGGACCTTCCTTGACCATTGCGATTCCGCCATGCTTCGAACGATCGGCGCCTCGTCGGCCGCGCTTCGGCGCGGCGCCTCGTCGGCGGCTGCTCAATGCGGCGGCGCTGGCCCCGCCTCGACCATCCCCTCGCTTCCGATCTCCCCGTGCCATTCCCGCGCCGCTCTCGCCCTCGTCGCTCTCACCCGATCACTAGCGTCGCTCCACTCGCCACCAGTCGCCCCGCAAATTCCGCTCCCGCAACTATCGCAAAATCCCTCTCCCACTCTCACACCCGCTTCACAGCAGCAGACGAGCCAGTCTCAACAGCAGCGGCGGTCGCTCCACTCCCCCGCAGCCCTTCTCTCCGCTTCCGCCTTCCGCCTCCCGTTTTCCCCCCTCCACTCCGCCTCCCGCGCGCCGTTCTCCTCCTCCGCCGACTCATCTGCGGATCCGACGGAGCAGCGCAGCCCGCCGACAGAGCGCGTGGTACGGCTGGCGGACGAGATCGTAGGGCTGACGTTGCTCGAGGTCTCAGATCTAACGGCCCTGATCCGCAAGAAGCTGGGAATGGAAGATGCTCCGATGGGCGGCATGCCGATGGGCATGATGATGATGCCGGGCGGCGCGATGCCCGGCGGCGGCGGCGGCGGCGGCGGCGCGGAAGCGGGTGCGGCGGCGGGCGCGGCGAAGGAGGAGAAGACGGCGTTCGACGTGAAGCTGGAGGGGTTCGACGCGGCGGCGAAGCTGAAAGTGATCAAGGAGGTGCGGAGCATCGCGGGGCTGGGGCTGAAGGAGGCCAAGGAGTTCGTTGAGAAGGCGCCCATCGTCGTCAAGGCCGGCGTCAGCAAAGAAGACGCCGCCGCCATCGCCGAGAAACTCAAAGCCGTCGGCGCCACCGTCGCCGTCGAGTGAGCGCGCGCGCGGAGGGAGACGAGGGGAGGGGGGGAGGGGGGGGGTGGATGGGAGGGAAGGGCGGAAGGGTAAGTGGGAGGAGAGGAGAGGAGATGGAGGCGAGGAGGACGGGGAGAGGTGGGGTAGGGGTGGAGAGTGGGGATTGGAAAAAGAGGTGCTGTGCTGAGTGGGTTGGGCAAGCACAGGGCAGGGAGGGAGAAGGCCAAGGATGGGTGAGAGAGCTGACGAGTGGGGGTGGAGCAGAGCACGGGTGGGGGACACAAGACAGAGTAGGTGGGCACGTGGGTGCACTCAAGGAGTTGAGCTGTGGGTGGAGCTGGAGGTGGCTTGGCTTGAGCATGGATGGACAGCAATTGTGAAGCTGATGGTGCTGTAGCGGAGTGAGTCAACAGCATTGAATGCGCCATCATGGCTCTTCGGTGTCCTCCCTACTGTTTTTTCTGTCTGGATTCTTCATTATCTCTCGTCTCTGTTCTCGATCACTCTCTCGCTCTCTCCGTCCCTTCTCTCCCTACATCACATGCACACTGGCAACTTTCCGCTTATCATTGAGTTTCTTTCTTCCAGACCTGTCCTGTCCCATCTTCCATCCTCGTACCGGTATCTTTACTCTTAAGCATATGCGGCCTTCAGCCCTCTTGCATTTCGTGGCGATTTTAGGTGTCCATCAGTTACTCCTACTTCAAGTTCTGTTCGTGCTACCGTTATCCTACCGTTATCCCTCTGTAGGCTGGATGTAAGGGGGTTTGGATGAGCTGCCTTCAAGTTAGGCAGCTTCTTGGCTGGTGGTCGTAGGTTATAGTTGGTTGTTGATTGGATCAGAGTGAGCTGATAAGTTTTGGAAGTTCGTTGAGGTTGTTTGGAAAGGTGCAATCTAACCTGGATGTTGTAGGATATTGCTTTCATGAGGGGGATGGAAGTGCCCCAATAAGGAGTAAGAGGAACGTTGACTTTCTGCTGGTCAATCTCTATGTCTCAAGCAGCAATGATGCTCTCTCCACATCCCAGGAAATCAATTGCACACTTCCTCAAATGGCAGTTGACTGGAAAAATGGTATGGTAAGTGAACTAAGATGTACTAGCTAATTATTCCCCCCCTGGACAACGTCAGCAACAGCTTCCACCTCTTCTCGCACACGACCAGCAATAGTAGGAGCCTTGACTGTAGTGCGAGCGCCTGCTGCTCTTTCCTTAGCATCAGATTCAGTATGCGCTAGTGTTTCATAACCACCAAGATTTCTCCAAATCTTCCGTAGGCCTGATTTGATTGTTGAATAGACGCTGCCATCATCCTCGCCTTCCATTCCACCCGGAACTTCTTCTCCTGAGAGTCTCTTTCTCTCACTGGGTTCATCCTCATCCATCTCAACCCTTTCCGGATACTCAGGGGCCTTCTCTCCACCTGCACAAACGTCAGAATAGATGAAAATCGCTGAAAGGTAGCAAACGATATGCAAAACTGGATGCATACCTGGATGAACGCTCAAAAGTAGTGACGGCTGATCGCCCTGACCTGTAGCAAGGTATTTGTGTCAGTAGGATCTACGGCTGGTAACAGTCATATTGCGTAATCGGATAATGTAAATGCTAACTCAAACGGACCATGATTATTAGACGATGCAGCCGGCTGACCCACTGAATTAGACATCCCACCAAGAATCGTGTATCTGCAACTCTTCAGGAATTTATTGATTCAAGGGGTGACAGAAGGACACCAACAATTACAAGTCGACACAGCACAAGAGGGAAGGTAGTGCCAAAGTCAGTCGAGGTTTTGCAAAAGCTTCACGGTGCAGGCGTTAATTTCTGGGTGTCTGCCTTTTTGCTTCCTCTCTGCTTGCTAGCTTCTTGCGTGCCCTTTCAGCATGCTTGCATTCTGCTTGCTCCTTTGAGACAGCCACCCGCCATGCAGCAAACCTGACATGCCTGAAATTGACAAAAGGCTGAGGGAAATCGAACCGCGTCTATTTGCGGATTTATCGAGGGTGTAACGAAGATGACACTAGACGAGATGATGACAGGTTGTCTTGACAGGTCCTCTGTGCGACTGTTCGCCATCGTTCTCATGAGTCGTTGGGTGTTCGTCGGATGTTGTTACATCAGCGAACCATCCTTATGCGATGACATCCAGCCAGATTCATGAACCCCATGGCTCATTGTGTGAAGTAGTTTTACGAAACCATGATCAGCGAAGTTTTTTCTGGCGCACCCAGACCAGGTTACCATATCCGTCGAAGTGTTTCTGGCTTTCGCGAGCTGTTCTGCAGCACAGGCCAATCCACCACTCGTTATGCCTCACCCAACTCCCCCTGCCTGAATCCCAACATCTCGCTGCAATGCGTTTCGCGAGGTTCTGATACTTTTGGAGCGATGCACAAAGGTTTTTGAGCGGTTACTAGGTTTTGCTCTTCAGATACCCTCGTCAGATCACACTGGTTTCTGGTTTTGCTTCCGGAAAGGCACTTTTTGTCAGTAGCACGAAAGGCACCTGCTTTCCAGAGAGCAAGGAGTTCACGGAGGGGCTAACAGCAGCTCGGGTCATCCCATACTCTCCGCCGTCTGCGTTGATTCCTTCCGCGGTAAGTTGCTCGCTTCGCGTCTGCGATGCCTCTCCTCATCGCGTTCCGAGACGTAGATCATAACAAGCGGCTGAGTGTTGGTTCTGATCCAGAAGGTTGCGATTCGGCCGTAAGATTTTGCCGTCGGTGTCTGGCATCAAAACGGTAATGATCTACAAGACATTCTACCGTCATCACGTTCACTTTTTAAATAAAATGTCCTTGTTGTGCTCTTATGTCCTGCGTGGGACGGGTGTGCAAAGCTTGGAGATTCCATTTTCGCGTTTCAAGTTTAAACGTCAGGCGAAACTGTCACCCAGTGCCTCTCTTCTCGCTCATTCTGCATTTGAGTCAACTCAGTCGCGGTTTCTCACACCTCTCTCGTATTCAGTGAACGCGGTCCTCGCGTAAGGCGTACCCATATATCCGGTCACTGTGTGGTCAGTACATGCAGTATGTGGCTCCTTGTGCGTTGTCTTGGTATTCATACATGTCTTGTTTAACCCTCATCTGCATCTCACACGCAGCTCTGTCGTTCGCCCAACATTCTTGTTGCATCGTTCATTTGCGTGGTCCCGTCACCTACTTCCCTTGTCTCCATTGTCCCATTTTCGTTGTCTCAATTTCTCCTCTCACTTGCACACTCCTCCCTCCACCAATGTCCCTGTCTCCTGTCCCTCTCAAACCCTCCGCTCTCTCCCCAAACCTCTTGCGCCTCTCAGCCATGGCGCTCGCCACTGCTGCTGCTCTGCTCCGCCGCTCCAGTGCCTCCTCTACTGCTGACGTCATGGGCGCAATGCGCCTCGGTGCTTCTGCTCTGCTGCAGGTGGGTTGACGGGAGAGGAGGGGAGGAGGTGGGAAGAGGGGGGAGAGAGAGGGGGAAAAGGGGAAGAGAGGGATTTGCATTTTTTCGGGCAGTGCACAGCACAGGTCTGGGCTCAGCAATTCCTTTGACTTTAACTACCAGGTCAAGGGGTTGCAGAAATTATATTTGGTTATGATCTTTCTTCGAACCTAAACTTCAGTGCCTTGTGGCAAAGAAGGACACAATTTTTGAAAGTATCAAGGTCCCCTTTTACATAGTCTGCATACCATGGCACTTCGTAGTGAGTCTTCCCTCGGTCCCCACTTTCCCTCCCTCTCTCCCTCCCTCCCTCCCTCCCTCCCTCCCTCCCTCCCTCCCTCCCTCCCTCCCTCCCTCCCTCCCTCCCTCCCTCCCTCCCTCCCTCCCTCCCTCCCTCCCTCCCTCCCTCCCTCCCTCCCTCCCTCCCTCCCTCCCTCCCTCCCTCCCTCCCTCCCTCCCTCCCTCCCTCCCTCCCTCCCTCCTCCCTCCCTCCCTCCCTCCCTCCCTCCCTCCCTCCCACCCCCCTCCCCTTCTTTCATGCAGCATCGTGCAGCCTTCAGCAGCAGCAGCAGCCAGCCCACGGCGATAGACATGGCGTGGCCAGCAACCCTGCAGAAGGCGCGGTCGTGGGACGATGGCGTGGCTACCAACTTTGCCACCTCCTCCCTCGCTGACGTCTTCAAGGTCCGTTCCGCTGCCAGCTTTGAGTCGAATCAATACCCACCTCCTCACTTGCTGATCTCTTCAAGGTCCGTTCTTTGACTTTGCGTCTTTCACTTCGACCATCACCTTTCTTGACCTTTCCCCCTCCCACCCTCTCACCCCCCCATTCCCCCCGGCCCACTCCCCCCTCTCCCTCCCTCACCTACTTCGCCCTTTCCATGTCATTGTTCCGTCTCCCCTTATCTGTTCTACTAGTTTTGCTAATCGTCGAATTTGATTTTGGTATTTTCAAACTTTTGCAACTGCCTGGTAGATATATTGGTTTTGAAACAGAGCGTGTAAAAATTGGTGGGAGCCACAGTGGTTCTGTTTGGGTCTCACATTTCCGAAGTAAATCAGCCGTTATATGTTCCCCTGGTGATGGGCATGGATAGCATTATGGTGACCATATTTGCTGGTTCCGGTGTGAGGAACTTGTTAGTGGGTCTCTGGAAAACGGGTTTTTGAAGGGGGGGTGTAGAGAAGGGCGGGCTTTGAAAACCCGGGTGGCTTGAATGTGGTGGTGGGGAGAGGGTCTGGCTAAGTAGGATAAGTGGGACGCTAATAAAAGCTCGTCTCGAACTTCACATTTAGGATGCTCGTTCTCACCTTGCTTCGTCTGTGCGTGCTCATTTCTGACCCGTGCTGCCTAATCAGGGCCGCAAGGTGGTGATCTTCGGTGTGCCCGTAAGTGCTCGCTTCCTCAGCTGCTTTCCTTTCATTTTCCCAGCTCCGACTGCTCTTCCCTGAATTGCGTGGTGTTGTCCACCCCTTCCCTCTGCTTGTCGTCCTCTTTCTATCAAGCTTAAATGTTAAGCTACAACCATACCCTCTCATCAGGACATTGTCATTTCTCCCACGCATGACTCCGGCCACCCCCATGCTTGCTCCCCCAGGGTGCATTCACGGGAGTATGCTCGAAGGCGCACGTGCCTGGGTACCTGGCTGCACTGCCTGAGCTGAAGGCCAAGGGCGTGGATGCTGTACTCTGCACTGCTGTCAATGACCCTTACACACTGCACGCCTGGGCCAATCAGCTGCAGGCACATGACAAGGTCTGTGCTTTCTATATTCGCTTTCACTTTTTTTCAGACGCAACTTCCAAGGCTGCCCTTCTCTCCTTGGTTGACGGTGATGGCTTTGGCGGCATGTAATTACGTCATGCCCCCAGAAGTCAGCAATTTTTCACTGATATGGTCTACACTGATTTTTATCTGGCAAATCTTTTCTTGCTGTATAAACTGTCCAGTCAGCCTTGTAACGGTGCACACTAGATGCAAAATCAGCCTCCTAGCTCTCCCTGTTAATGTCCTAGCTCTATCCAAGGTCCCTCACACTAACGCCCTTTCTCCCAGCCCTCCCTGTCACTTTGGGCACTCTCTCCCAGCTCTCCGATTCCTCTTGCAGTCCCCCTCCTGTTTCCTCGCACTCCCTCCTGGTTGGTCTGTTTCTTTCACCACTGATCAGTCGATCCCAGCCTGGTCAAAGAGCAGGAAGGCATGGCATTTCTGGACTGATGGGGAATGTTATGTCACTTTTCCTTACTGTAATTTCTTTTGATTCTCTTTTATTTTCTTCTCTGTTGACCAAACCAATGCTGAAGTACCCAACCCAATTTTTGGCCAAATTCAATCCAGGCAGTCTTTTCATTTGTAAACGCTCCTTTCTTCTGATGTTCTTCTATGCCAGATTGACTTTTATGCTGATTTTGATGGCTCTTTCCATCGCCATTTGGGCCTTCAGTTTGACTGCTCAGGAGCACTTTTGGGAATGCGCTCAAACCGGTATGTATCTACTATTCACATAAACTGCTTCCGCGTCATTTTCACTTGCACAAGTTGTAGCTCTGCATGGCATGCTGCGGCTGCAACAACCGTTTAAATGTGCTGCACACGTTCCTTTCTTACTTTTCACATCCCTGCTTCTGCATTCAGGTGGGCTGCGGTGGTGGAAAATGGTGTCATCAAGACCCTTAAAGTTGAAGAAAATCCAGGGGAATTGCAGGTCAGCAGGGCTGAGGACATACTTGCATCACTTCAGTGATTACTGGTTTCAGGATTATCAGCTCAAGAATATTGTGGGTATATCTTGTCCAATACATCTATTGTAGTGATAATATTTCTTTATCAAGGAACTGACAAGACAGGAGGATTCTGTCATTTCTAAAAATGTACGGTATCAATTTTGGGAAATGACAAGTCTTGATATGACTTGGAAACAGTGAAGTAGGAAGAAGCAGGTTCAGTGACGTAAAACCCTATTTTATCAACTGTAGCGAGATAACACGCCAGAAGAGAAAGAGGCAGGTTCAATGACGTCGACAAGTTCTATCGAGCATAATTCGTTTTCATTTCTTCTATTTCACATACGAGACAGGGATTGAATGATCTGGGAATATAACAAGCAGAAACTACGTTCACCAAAAAGGATGTTCATACTACAACCTACATGTCCCACTCAGCATACACTATTGACCATAATAAACCTGGAAACCACTTAGAAGCACTTCCTGTGCACGATAGAGGGGCCAGACTCGTCATACTCGCTCTTGGCGATCCACATCTGCAATAACGAGCAAACAGAAAACACGTTAGGTTGAATTGACTTCTATACATTTCTTTCAAAAAAGCTGCCAATACTTTCGCGGTTTTTACCTGCTGGAAGGTAGACAGGGAGGCGAGAATGGAGCCACCGATCCAGACACTGTACTTGCGCTCAGGAGGGGCGACGACCTTGATCTTCATGGTGCTGGGAGCAAGCGCGGTGATTTCCTTCGTCATGCGGTCAGCAATGCCAGGGAACATGGTGGTACCACCAGAGAGCACGATGTTGCCGTAGAGATCCTTTCGGATGTCGACATCGCACTTCATGATGCAGTTGTAGCATGTCTCATGGATTCCAGAAGCTTCCTTACCAACCAGGGACGGGTTGAACAGCACCTCAGGGCACCTAAACCTCTCGGAGCCGAGAGTAATCACCTGACCATCAGGAAGCTCGTAGGTCTTTTCGAGGGAAGAAGAGTTTTGAGCAGTGGACATTTCAGCCTCAAAATCAATGGCCACGTAGGCAAGCTTCTCCTTAATGTCACGGACAATTTCTCTCTCTGCGGAGGTGGTGAAGGAATAGCCCCTCTCCGTCAGGATGGTAACCAGATACTCCGTGAGATCACGGCCAGCAAGATCGAGACGAAGGATGGCGTGAGGGAGAGCATAACCCTCATAGATAGGGACAGTGTGGGACACACCATCACCAGAGTCGAGCACAATACCTGTGAATAAAAAAACATTGATTACTTAGTTTAGCTTGTCACATAATTCAGCTTATCACAAAACACTAAAGAACACAGAATAACGGGAACTTACCGGTGGTACGACCGGAGGCGTAGAGTGACAGCACGGCCTGAATGGCGACGTACATAGCAGGGACATTGAATGTCTCGAACATGATCTGGGTCATCTTCTCGCGATTAGCCTTGGGGTTCAGAGGGGCCTCGGTAAGCAGCACAGGGTGCTCCTCAGGAGCCACACGAAGCTCGTTGTAGAAGGTGTGGTGCCAAATCTTCTCCATATCATCCCAGTTGGTGACGATACCTGGAAAAGACGCGAACATGTCAATGTGGTGGCTTGCAATTTACAATAAGAAACAAAATGTGGTGTTGGTTTTACCGTGCTCGATAGGGTACTTCAGGGTCAGAATTCCTCGCTTGGACTGCGCCTCATCACCCACATAGGCATCCTTCTGTCCCATTCCAACCATAACTCCCTGGTGACGAGGACGGCCAACGATGCTGGGAAACACCGCACGGGGAGCATCGTCTCCAGCAAATCCAGCCTGCATGAGTAAGAAACATATTACGCAAAGTTAAAATAAACCGTAAAATAGAACGATCACATATTCTTGAATACTAGCCCAGATCGACTCACCTTCACCATACCAGACCCATTGTCGCACACGAGAGCAGAGATATCACCCTGATCGTCAGCCATTGTAGTAGTTTAAACTGGAAAAGTAGGAAGGGATGAACAATGTGTCAAAAAGACGTCGTTAATTTCACCGTTTGCAGTAGAAATCAGATACCTGAGATTCCAGCTACTATAAGAAGGATCTAAGAGGAATTTCAGATTAGGGGCTCACCTAGGAAAATGGCAGACGAGGTGGGAGATCTGAGTCTGGGACTGGACTGGAGGTGAGTGAATGAGAGCAAGGACGGCCAAAATGAATGGAGTGATGGGAGGATAAAAGCGTAGGCCAAGGAGGTACGAGTCCCACTCACATAGGCTCAACCCCAGAAATTTCGGCCAACAAATGAGAGCAATCTTTCCACGTTATCCCTCCAACCGGGCACGTTATCAGAACCCAGGCGTACGTGCCTGGGCATCGCACCTTCCTACTGGTCTGGCCCACCAAAACTGCCCCGAAAAAATGGTTCGTCAACGCAAGCTCCGCCTGAGGCACATTCATGCGCGCTTGGGATGGCTCGGGCCCAGCCATTGTGGCATGGGGGACCCCTCGAACCATACATCCCATCGCTCACCAACCTCATCTTGAATCAACGACTGCCACATATCTCGAGGATACCTTCGAGAAGGGTGCGGGCGAAAACTTCAGCGCAGCGTAAGTTTTCCTGTAAATTATGGTCTTTCAATACAATACAAGTCCAAATCGCTTCTAGACATTGGCACACCAGAAAATAAAAAATAATTTATAATAATGGGAACCTGCAAATATGAATCATTTAGGCCTGCAATAATTTAGAACGAGGGCCGAGACAGATTCTACTGCAGCCTTGACATTTACCGTACTCCCACTTGTTATACAGTCATGGCTGGCTGGAAATTCACAAATTCACTGTACATTGTTTCGGATTATAACAATTAGTCGCGAATAATAATGTGTGACAAAATTAGGGCTGCCTGTGCCTCTTACCAGGCGAACCTCTTGCCAGACTTGCCTGATTCAATACGACAAGGATTTTGGGTTTGCGTGAATTTCAGTGAGATGCGCCGCAAGTCTGGTTAGAGGCCATAGGCCATCAAATCCACGCATGGCATCAACACTAGTTGTTGTACGTACCATTTCCTCAGTGATACGGTACTACCATACCAAAGTCTTATTTATGTATACTATACAGAATCAAGGAAGTGCGGTGCCTTTATTGATAGCCACAGCGACCTCTGACGTCGCCGTATTGTCCGCATACCGCTTGTAAATCTCTCTCAACCTATCGCGGTCCGCCAGAGTAGCATGCACGCTTGGGTGACCTCCAATTGCCGTCTCCCACAGGCAGAAACGGCGGAGGGCCGGAGAGGATTCATCGTGTGAGGGCAGGGAGAAGTTGCGGTAGAATTGGAGGATGTCGTGACGTAGCACCCAGGGTGCAAGTGAGATGTCCTGCCATGGCATGTGCATGTGCATGTGCGTCCGTCCAGGAAACCGCAAGAAAATCACGGGGGATGGGGAAGACACAAGGTGAGTGCGCAATGTGCGAGGACATGAGAGAAGTTGGGGTGGTACTGGAGGATCTGGTGAAGCAGCACCCAGGGAGTGAGTGTCATGCACATGTGTGCTCTAGTGTCCATGGGAGAGATTGCAAGGAGGTAACGAAGGGTGGGAGAGAAAGACGGGTAAGTGCGTGATGTGCCTGGGCATGGCATCAGGAGGGAAAGGGAAGGTGGGATTGGTGGTAGGAATGATGTTTAATTGGTCAGGGAAGAATTCATTTGAGCTAAATGGCACCGAGAGGGGAGATTTTGGAGTCTACTCAAAGGTTTCGTGGTAGGGATGTGTATAACAAGTCAGGGAAGAAGATGTATGAGCTTGATGGTACTGAGAGCACAAGCGTGCAAGGATGTCAGTGGAAATGAGCTTACTAGAGTTGGTTGAACAGGGGCCGGATGAATGGTAGCAAGCACATTCGGAAACAGGGACCACAGAGAGGAGGAGGATAAACAAAGCACACCATTACGGGTGGCAATGGCGGAGGCAAGGAGAAGGAGAGAGCAAGAATGAATGAGGGACAGGCAAGAGAGAGAGGGCACCATGAGGGAGAATTGCTGGCCAAGAAAGAAGGGCCCTTCTGGACTGATGGTCTCCATGGCTGCTCCTAGCTGCTCGTAGCAGCTGATTAGCGCCGCCCTCTCTGCCTCCTGCTCCTCCCGGCTCTGCTTCTGGAGATAGCTGCATTGTGAGAGCGGTCAGAGGAGCGGGACGAATGGGAGGAAAGACGAGAGAAGGGGAAGGGGGCAAGGTGGAAGAGGATTATTTTTGTGCGCTTAGCTTCTAACGCTTCATTGTTGGTCTATCCTACCCAACTCAAGACAAGCCTTTTCGTGTTGGCTACATGATGTTCCTTGCGTACTTAACTCAGCATGAGTAGGCAGTGCGTGGTGCAGAGCAAAGTGACTGAGCGAGGAGGAGCGAGCGCGACAGAGGGGGGAGAGCACGAGGAGGAAAGCGGCTTGAAGCAGCTTGAAGTGGCTTGAGAACCAAGAAGGAAGAATCAATTAGGGTGAGGATGTAACGAGCGGCACTCACATTCAGGAGGCATCTTGAAAAGCGGTTAATACACCTCGAGAAGCGGTTGGTGCTCACCGGTAGAAGATGGGAACGATCTTGCGGTTGACAAAGTCCATCCACATGCGCACTTGCGCCCTCTCATACACGTCCTGTGGCATCAGATGCACTCCCCCGCTCCCAGCAGCAGCAGCAGCAGCTGCGGCGGCGGCGAGCGGCGAAGGTGGAAAGGCCTCGTCAATGTATTCCATAATCACACTCGACTCGTACAAGCACCACTGCTGCTCGCCCTGCTGTGTAATGTGCAGCAGAGCAGGCACGAGGCCACGTGGGTTCACGGCCATGAGCTCTGCTGGCTTGGCGTATGGATCCACCTCCACGTACTGGGGGACGAGGAGGGGGCAGAGAGGGAATGCTCCGTGATAAATCTCGAGGACAAATCTGGAGGTCCCCCAAAACTTGTGAGTAGGCTCAAAAGTCAACGCGGTTCACGGCCATAAGCTCTGCTGGCTTGGCGTATGGATCCACCTCCACGTACTGGCGTTGGGGGAGAAGGGGGGAAGGGGGGGGGGAGGGTGGGAGGGGAGGAGGGTGGGATGGGGAGGAGTGAAGCAGTGCAATGCACGACTCGGGAAGTCCGTGAGGGCTTTTAATCGATACAAAAGTCAGCGCCAGTTCACTTCATGGGCATGCCGTCTGCTGGCTTGGCGTATGGATCCACCTCCACGTACTGGTGTAGGGGGGCGAGGGGGGAAGAGACTCCTCGAGTCAAGCAAAGAGGTCACGTAAGAGTCAACCCAGCAGCCGAACCAAGAGCGGATTCACGAGGTCCGGCTTATTTGGTGCTACTTGTCAACAAAGAGCAGGCTGATTCCCTCGCACCCCGCACTCCCTCGCACCCCGCACTCCCTCGCACCCCGCACTCCCGCGCACCTCGTACTTGACACCTTTGGCCTCCAGCGCGATCCACGCGCGCTGCGCGAACGGGCAGAACCACGCGCTGAACAGACGAACCGTGTCGCCCTCGGCGCTCATGGCTGGCTCCGACGCTAAACCCCGTTCAAAGATTTTCGGAATTCAAAGAAAACAAAAAACAACAAGATGAACCGGTTTTTCCGCACTGCTCCCCCTCGTTACGTTACGAGAGGGGTTAATCCTGTGTTACACGGGCGTAAGTAGTGGTACAACAAGAAACGAGCGGTTGCACCGGGCTAGAAACGAGGCTCTGTGATATTTCTCCTATGGCGTCCGGCAGGCATCGACCGAAATGTGGAAGCGATGATGTCCGTTTGCTCTGGCTAGCTGGTACGAGTAGTCTCCGGTACGAGTCGCCAAGACAGTTACACGCGGCGCGCGTTCCCTACACTCACACCGCACCGCTTTCTCGTGGTCACGACACGAGGAACTCAGCGGCGCGAATGCGTCAGACGGGCTCAGCAGGGGTAGGAGCTCGCTGAATGTCACGTGGGCGAATTCTGCACGTGGCGTGTTTGGGGAGACACACAATGGAGCTGGGCTGAAAATGGATTCATACTGGTAATTTCCCGTGCATTCATGTGAACCAGACTGAATGAGATGCTTTGCTTTGTAGAACGGTCAAATTGTTATCCAGAAGGTTTGGGTAGGGTATCGAGCAAACCCAAGCACCTCTTGCAAGCACACTGATATAAAGAGAAGCAACTGTAAAACGTGAGCAGCAACATACAAACGTAATGAGAAGCACCGTATGGAGGAAAATGAATTTCCTTAATATTCATCAATCAAATATGAGAAAACACATGAGCAGGAACAAGCATCCGGTGAATGCACCTAACAAGGATTCATCCTAACAAGGTGTCAAAGACAGCAGCACCATTATTCGCCACTCAACTGCACGGAAACATGTGCAGATGGGTTTCCGGGCGAACCTCTAAGGCACATGATAGTTCCCAACCAACCCATTAAATACCTATACCAGGCGCACAAACTACTTTCTCGCCCATCCCCCACTCTGCCTAACAGTAAGGTGATCAGTCCAATATTATAAACTACGCCAGTAGATGGTGAGTCTATGTAGTATGGTTGTTTGCACAATCCTGGGTGTGTGCGACACACGCATGCACCGAAGCAAGGACAGCACTGGGCTCTCTGTTGCTCGGTGGCCTTGGGAGGAAGGACAGCAGCAGCAATGGAGAGTGGCACTGTAAGCTGGTAACCTCGATTCTGTATTATCGTTGCGCCTGCCGCCACCTCACTTCCTCTTCTCCTTGGAAATCGAGCACAGCACAAAGAAGTAGCACACGCGGATAAACAGCGCGAGACCAAGCAGCACCGCCAAGCACTCCCACTTGCCCAGCTCATTAATCTCCAGAAAACCATGCGCGATGCGCGGGCCGTACAGGATACAGCTCGTTTCGTTCAGCCCCTGCGTCGCGTTGGTCGCGAGCATGGGGACGAAAACGTCCATGGCGCTCTTTGCCTTGGTTGCGTTCAAGTACTCGTTGAAAGGCTTCACCGTGAAAATCTGCTCCACTGTCAGGTAGCACGCTCCGTCCTCCCTGGTGGTTGGTTGGAGGAGGGGAAGGTGCGTGGACGTGGGTGAGAGGGGGAGCAGAGCACAGGAGCGGAATGGAAGTGAGATGGATGAGTATGTAAGCACGAGTATGATATGGACATGGCTGTGAGCATGTGATGTGTGGTGAGGGTGAGGTGAAAGCACGATCAAGAAGAAAGGCCGCAAAGGGGACAAGGGCGGTCGAAGGCTCACGCAGGGGGCAGGGGAGAAAGAGGAAGGGTGTGGTTGAGGGAGGTTTCGAAGAGAGTGGGGAGAGGGGAGAGGGGGGAAGGCGGGAGAGAGGGGAGGCGGGAGAGGGGGGAGGCGGGAGAGGGAGGGTAGGGGATAACGTGGGAAGGAGGTGAAGGAGGGGAAGGAGGCGGATTGGGGCGGCACCTGTCAAACTCGTTGAGTGCGAGTCCCTCGTAGGCGTATTTCATGGGCGAGATGTAGTGCAGCCAGATCCAGACCCATGCGTCCAGGTCACCACTTCCAACCAGCATACACACACAAGCACACCCCCAGACCGCACCGCACCTGTCGAACTCGTTGAGTGCGAGTCCCTCGTAGGCGTATTTCATGGGCGAGATGTAGTGCAGCCAGATCCAGAACTTGGGGATGGACGTGCGCTGGATGTAGAACCCGCACACCAGCGTGAAGTAGGCCATCAGACTGATCACCATCGCGTACGCCAGAATCACGCTGCGCGCCGAGCAAGGGAGGAGTGAACAAAAAAAAGAAAGGGGGAAAGGGAAAATAATCAGTGCGGGGTAACTTCCAAATAAAAACATCACTGTCACGGGCCAGAAGCGAAATCTGAAGAAGCTGGGCGGGGAAGAAACCGGAACAGTGTAACCCGTACGCGGTACAAACAAAAACCGGACTCACTTGGTAAAGAATGAGGAGCAGAGCGTGGCGATGGCATTGCCGGTGAAGAGGCACATGAAGCACATGAGGCAGAAGAAGCAGATGCCGGAGAAGCCGCCCGTGAGGCCGACGCACCACCACGACTCGAGAGTGATGATGAGCGCCATCATGAAGTAGAGCGGCAGGTACACGATCGTCGTCGCGATCACGTACGTCGACGACCGGTACGTGTTGTGCGACGTCTCTCGTATAAATATGTGCCGCTCCTGGGGGAGGGGAGCGAGCAGGGAGCGCGCGGGAGAAGCGGAGGGGATGAGCGCGCGACGGTGGGTGGGGCGCGGAGTCTCGGGAGGAGGGGGGGGAGCGGGAGCACGGAGCGCGAGAAGACCAGCGGGTTTCTGTGCGGTTCAGAGCGGTGGAGCGCGGCGTACCTGGATGAAGATGGGCGTGGCGTCGGCAGAGCAGAAGAAGAGCACGGCGACGATGAACGACAGGAACGCCAGTCGCTCCAGCAACCCCGTCGGACTGCACGCAACCAGGGAGAGTTCAGGAGAAAGGGGAGGGGGAGGGCGAGGAGGGGGAAGAGCGGCGGGAGACTCATGAGAACAATGGGTAGCGAACGATGGGAAACAGTGGGGGGTTGAGGGAGGGGGGAGAGGCGGAAGCAACGACCAACGGATATCAGCAAAACGAAAGTGGATAGTCCAAAAAGAGAGTGGCTTACTCGTAGTCCGGGCGGTAGAAGAGCGTCGCGAGCATGAACCCTGCCACGGCGATCAGTACGAGCCGCAGCGCGTACAGCGCGGGGTTGCGCCGGATCATGAGCGCGGATCGCGCCGTGAGCACGCAGAGCTCGCGGAACCAGCTGTTGGCGAACTGCCGCGTGCCCTTGTGATTCGACGCCACCACCGCCGCCGCCGCCGCCGCCGCCGCTGCGGGCGAGTCCTCCGGAACCACGTCGCCGAGACTCACGGGGGACGCCGCCGCCGCCGACCCGCAGTCGTCGGGGATCGGCGGAAGCGCGCGCGTCCTTCCGCCGCCGCCAATCCCGCCGGTGAGGTCCTTCCCGCGGTGATACTCATCCGCGTATGACATTAACTCACTCAGCCCCGTCGGCGTGTTCGCGAGCTGGTCTAGTAACTCCAATCCGAACTCCGTCGGGTTCGCGAACTGCGGCACGGGCGTGCCGAACGAGTCGAAAAACGCGGGGAGCTCCGGAGGCGGGCCGAAGTATATGGTATGCCCCGTGGCCATCAGCAGCAGTTGATCGAGCAGCTCCAGCACGCGGAACGACGGCTGGTGGATCACCATGATCACGATGCTGCGCGACTCGACGGCGATGTCCTTGCAGATCTTGACGACGCGGTACGCGTTGGACGAGTCGAGCCCGGACGTGGGCTCGTCGAGAAAGAGGATCTTCGGGTCGTGCACGATCTGCGCGCCGATCGCCACGCGCTTGCGCTCTCCGCCGGACACGCCTCTGCAGGGGTCGAGGAAGCGCGGGGGAACGGGGAGGGGGAAGGGGGGAGGGGAGAAGGGGGAGAAGGCGGGGCATGAGAGGGGAGAAGAGTGGCCGCTCACTAGCCTGAATATTCTCCTAGCCCACTTTCCGTTGGCCCTTCCAATCCTTTCCTCATCTACTTGTATTCCTTCAGGCTTGACCTAAAACGCGTGTTACTTAACGTTTTGACCCTCACCCCTCACCCTTCACCCCTCACCCTGCACCCCTCACCCTGCACCCCGCACCCCGCGCTTACCGCCGGCCCTCGTCGCCGATGATCGTATTCGCGGCGTGCTGCAGCCCCAGCAACTCCAGCAGCCGCTCCACGCGCTCCTGCTTCTCCTTGTGCGAAAACGTCTTGCTCGGCAGGTTCATCTCCGCGGAAAACATGAGCGTCTCGCGCGCCGTGAGCGTCGCGTGCATCAGGTCGTCCTGCATCACGTAAGCCGAGATGCGCCGCATGATGCTGCTCGACATGTTCACGCCGTTCAGCTCCACGCTCCCCGTGCGCCCGCTCTTCACCTTGCCCTCCTTCTGCGCCAAGCGCGACGGCCGCGCCTCCGCAATGCGATGCGCGAGAACGTCCAGAAGCGTCGTTTTCCCGGAGCCTGACGATCCCATGATTGCAAGCACCTCCTGCGACCGCGCGAAGCCGGAGATGCCTTGCAGGATTGTGCGATACTTTTTTCTTGCTTTTATTGTGAATCCCTCCTCCGATACCGATTGTGGCTCCGGCGGCGCTTCATCCTCCGCGCCACCCGCATCCATTCCCGCTTCGTCGTCCGAGTTGATCGACTCGAACCGCGCGTCATTCCCGCCTCCGCCGGCGGGGGGAGCGGCGGGTTTGATCTTCCTCGCGCCTGGAGTTCGCTTGTTGACCACGGTATACGTGACGTCGCGAAACGACAGCACCAGCGGCTCGACCTTCACATTCACCGCCGTGTGCGGCGACGGCGCATCGGGCGGTTGCGGCGGCGTGGCGACGGCGATGTTCTGGTAACCCGAGTAGCTGCGACTTAGTTGCGCGTCGTCGGCCATGAGGCTCTGGCGGGAGGCCGCCGGGGAGTATTCGGGGTCGCCCATTGGGGGGGACATGGCCGCAACTGCACTCGGCTTCCGCAAGTTGGGCATGTGCGGTGCGTGGTGTGCGGAGTTTGACCAGTGGCTAGGGTCTGGACTGGCGGAAGGTGGGTGGGACGTCTATTGCAGAAGAGAAATGCTCGCACGCACCTACGCACGCAGCGTCGCGCGGGAGCGCACCAAGTCTGGCGGATTGTCTAACGCCGTCGCCAGCGCAGCAGGAGGGATAGATTAGGCGGGGGTCCACGGAGGAAAAGGTGCTGCGTCCCACAAAGGCCACGGCCAGGTGAGAGGGGCTAAGAAGCTCTAATGCGCGGGTCGCATTACACGGAGGGGAACTGAGTAGGATTGTACAAGAATGGGCCGATCTAAATGGACGAAACACACTCGTAATGAATAGAATTGTTAGATACCACTAGCTTCCGCTTGCCTCCTTTCCCCTTGTCACGGAAATGGGGCGCAAGGAGCTTCTCTCATCCAGACTACCGAGCTCGCTACGGTGATTAGCATGGAAAATTGGTTTTAAGGCACTCTAATGTGAGCCCTCTGCTGGGATGGATGGGTTGCTTAGGAGGAACCCGTTGAGAGCCGTTAGACCGACATTTTGGTTGAAGCTGTGATGGGAGAAGATTTGGAGAAGTGGATGGGTGACGTCCACGGGCGAGATGGCGAACGGCAATTTTTTTAGCAAAAGGTTTGAGCTAGAGATTCGAGGCGACCGAGACGACGGCACGACTCTCCCTCGCACTCATGTGGGGATTCAACAGCTAGAATTCGCGAAGGCGCAGTGCGCGCTCGTAAATCTGCCCGCCTCCAGTTGAGATGGCCCTCCGCATCTCATGGGCCGAGAGGTTGGAGGCATTGCATCTACTCTCCTTGGTTGGGCCTGGATCTTGTTGGTTATTTTTTTGGCGTCTTTCTCGCGCCCTGGCGCGTCAGCAAGAGCTGATTGTGGTGGAAGCAGTGGCAGGGAAGAATGGATGGAGGGATGGATGGGTTGGGTTGCGCTGCAGGAACACACATCCAACGATCTTTGCGCGCACCCATGAAATGAAAATCCAGTCGCGGCGCGAGGAGCTCGAACCGCCTCATTTGTTTTGGTGTGGATGCGCAGCCTTGCGAGAGGGGCGGATAGAGCTTCGCGCTGAAAAGATATCGTCGCCTGCGACGGTGTGCCGCTTTCGCCAGCCCGCCAAAGGGGGAAAGAGATGGCGATTCGTGATCAGGCGACACGACCTGAAAGTTTTGCTATTATAAGCACGGGCAGATTCGATAAAATTGGCTACTTCATAATCTCAACAGTGGGTGTCTTGCGTCCGAATGGAGGAATGAGTGGGGTGGCGAACGTTGCCGTCTGAAATTAGTTTTCCCTCCCACTCGTTTTTGGGGAGCGCGTGGACGAAGAGCCCCGCTTCTCAAACTGCACGAACTCGACGTGAGCTGAGCCCAGCAAAACACCAGAAAGGGGTTGTTGGTTGGGTTGAAAACGTTTTGAGGATGGATTTGGATGGAGGCGCCGGGTCAAGGTCAGCAGGTCTTCTGTATCGGGCAGATATAATAACTTCATGCATAGATGGGTACCGTACTACACTCACTTGGCCGCAAAGCAGTGAGTTTTTGTGGGCCCAAACATTTCTCTCGCGAGTTCCCCACACCTCCCAACAAATGTCAGTATTGCTGCGCTGTCAGGGGGTCCTCGACCAATGGAAGAGGGCCATTTCAATTGTAACCAGTGTCGGTCAGCAATTTCAAAGCTGGCCTGCAACGACGACAGCATGCATGGCACTTGACTTGCCCAGCACGGGACCGTGAAGCCAAACCTGCACTGGTGGGAAAACTCGATAAATGTTCACAATCATGTGACACACAAGATTCTAAAGCAATACTACGTATCCAAAACACCATTGAAGGTCAAAAACAGAAATATCTTACGAACCACCTGGATAATTAGGAGGTTATTTTACCACTATCTTCATAGATCAGTGTTGCCGGTAAACCAGTTTGAATCTGCAAAGTGTTCATTCATGTCATGATGTATTAGAGTTTCAGTCTAATCTCCGATCCAAATGAATGAGGTATATATCTCACAGGTTTTACAAAGCTGTATGCAATGAAGAGATTGAACGTGTTTCCTTATGTTGCTGTGCTGTATCCATATTCCACTATCGCGGATTCCGCTGCAGGCGCGGGGGGTGGTACTGCCGGCACTCGGCGGGAAACGCGTTGGGTTGGGATTCGGAAATGGAGATTTCTTCACAAGACAACGCTTTGCTAAGCTCCGAGCAAAGCATTAGTTCTCCCCACCACACCTGTCTCCTTGATTCCTCTCCCATTATCTAGCTCATATATTCTGCTCAGACTGCTCAGGCTAAGCAGAGCGAGCTCGAACTCGCGGTAGTTTCTCAATCGACCGGGGAAGAAGCGAAGACTGCCTCCACCGCGCGTAGTACTCTCACGACGCCGTTCAAGGCCGCCACTATCCGTCGATCAGCCGAGAACCGCAATTATCGAAAAGTATCCGTCGAGCACTTTTATCAAAGACAACGGCTCACCCTGCTACATCCTTCGACGAGCGTCTTCGTCAGCTCGTTCTGATCTGACCACCTCTGTCGTCCCATCCTGTTACCACACAACGGCCCCTCTCCCTGTTCTCCCGCGCGCATGCTCCAGTCTCTGCTGCTGCTGCTGCTGCTGCCGCCGCTGTCCCATGCCGTCTTCCTGAAAGCTCACGCCCGTCCTTCCGCCTTTTGAGGCGCCTCAAAAGTCCACTCCTCTCTCTGTTCTCCCAGGCGTATCCGCCAGTCGCTGCTGCTGCTGCTGCTGCTGCTGCTGCTGCTGCTGCTGCTGTCACGCAACGAACCCTCCTCCTGTTCTTCCCCCCGCATGCGCTGCTGCTGCTGCTCCTCTCACGCGCCGTTTTCTTGAGAGACATCGCCGATGCCTCCGCCTCCTCTTCACGGCGCTACAGTCACTCAGGTCCCGCAATGCGCTCCGCTAAGAGCGTCCTCGTTACTAGTAGCACGATCGGCGATGTCTATCCTACCCCCGTCGCGGATCCCACTAATGAAGTCCTCACAAACGGTCGTCAGCAAGCAATCAATCACGAAGGATTCATCCACTAATACGTTACTACAAATTAGGCAATCAAGAACGAGGCGATTAACTACGGGTATCACGAGGCAGCGCATTCCATTGCGCGTAGGAGTACAGTCGGGGTTAGAGTTCGAGTCGACCCAACAGCCATGGAGACGACAAACGGAGCCCATGCCTCCGACGAGTCATGTAGCGGCATCGTCGGTGATAGAGAGTTGTCAGCATCGTCCTCAGCATCTTACTGCACAAGGTACAGACGTAGAGGCAGCCTCTAGTTTGAGTCCAATTCAGATTCAGAGCCACCGTGAACGTCAACGTCAACGTCAACGTCAGTATCAGCGTCAAAGTCACCATCAACATCAGCATCCTAGTCAAAGTGAGGGTCAGAGACAGAGTGACGACAGACAGAGCGCGGGAGGCCACGATGAACTCGCTCTAGTGCCCTCCAGCTCGCGGCTCTCGCGTCTTTCAAGGCTGACACAGATCTCACGCCCACGTGGCACAATCTCACGCCCACGTGGCACAACCTCATGGAGCACACAGTCTCACGGTCACCCAGTGCACCCGCGCCTGGGTTTAGATGGGGCGGGTGGGGGGGGCGGGGCGGGGCAGAGGGGGACGGTGTGGACGGTGGGGGGAATGGGGTGTGTGGAGGGGATGGGAAGGAGAAGGGCGCGAAGGACGGTGAAGGCCATGTCATTTGCTGCTGCTGCTGCAGCTGGTGCTGGTTCTGCGGGTGACTTTTCTGGTACGGCGGGCGATGATGCCGGTGCTGCTGTTCCTGCCGCCGCTGCTGCTGCTGTGGGTCTGAAGGAAGGAGAGGACGAGGAGAGGAGCAGTGGGAGTGGGCGTGAAGGCGAGGGGCAGCAGGGGGCGGTGGTGAGGGATATCTGGGGCCTTGCGCTCCCTGCCCTGGGTGCCGTGTGAGTTGGGATGGTGGCATGGTGGGTTGGTGGGATGGTGGCATGGTGGGTTGGTGGGATGGTGGCATGGTGGGTTGGTGGGATGGTGGCATGGTGGGTTGGTGGGATGGTGGCATGGTGGGTTGGTGGGATGGTGGGATGGTGGGTTGGTGGGATGGTGGGATGGTGGATTGGTGGGATGGTGGGATGGTGGGATGGTGGGATGGTGGGATGGTGGGATGGTGGGTTGGTGGGATGGTGGGATGGTGGGATGGTGGGATGGTGGGATGGTGGGATGGTGGGATGGTGGGATGGTGGGATGGTGGGATGGTGGGTTGGTGGGATGGTGGGATGGTGGGATGGTGGGTTGGTGGGATGGTGAAATGAGATGATGGGGTGTCCTGATGGGATTAGATGAGGGAAGTCTCGACTTTTTTGATTGATGGAATCATTGATTATCCCCCCACACCCGCCCAACCCCCACCCCTTTCTTCCTTTCCCCTTTCTTCCTTTCCCCTTTCTTCCTCTCCAGAGCTGTTCACGATACACTCCTCTCTCCTTCCCCTTCCCCCTTCCCCCTTCCCCCTTCACACCTTTCCCCCATTTCCCCCCCGCCAGTCTATCGGACCCGCTCATGACGCTGATAGACACGGCGTGTGTGGGGCAGCTGGGGTCACTACACCTAGCTGCGCTCGCTCCCAACGTCTCTGTCTTCAACTTCATCTTCCAGGTGCGTCTGCTTTAACCTGTGCTTCCAGGTTCGCCCACTCTGTTGCCCTGTGTTATGTCATGCGGTGGTGTGCCTTGCTGTGCCCATGCTATCCCGTGCCATTTCCTCTGATTATGCTTTGCACAACCATCCCCTTCCCTCTCCCCACCCCATCCGCCTCCCCCGCCACCACACTCAACTTCACAAACGTGCCAATCGCACTCAAGCTCAAACCATGCCATACCCCATGCACCCCATGCCGCATGCACCCCATGCTTGCATGCCCCACCACACCCACGCAGACCTTCACCTTCCTGGGCACGGCGACATGTGCATTGGTGGCCCGCCAATCCACACCCCAGCCCACCTCTGCTGCACAGTCACAGCAGAACCTACTGGTAAGCTCTCACTCTGTGGATCGGGCTTTTGAGAATTCTCAAAAGTATTATCCACCTCTGCTGCACAGGCAGAGCATATCCTACTGGTAGCCTCCCACTGTCCTCACCTTGCTCTCCCTGCTGCACTTCCCAAACCTCATCTCCTTCCCCACCCCACCATCCTCTCCCATTGCCCTTTCCCTCTCTCAACTTTCCAACTCTTGCTTTTCTTCCGTTCCTCATTGCCCGTACTGATCTTCCGTCCCATTCGCCCTCTATCGTTGCTCCTTATTGTTTCCTATGTTGAAGCTCGCAATGTTTCCCTTACTCACTAGGCTTCCCCGCCTCTCCTCACTTCACTCCTCACTTCACCCCCCTCCCCAATCCAGGCCAGCAGGGCAGTGACAGCAGCAATGCTCGTGGCGGTGGTGTGGTGGGGTCAGTTGTGGGGCACTTAGATATTAGCTTCCCCCTCCCCCTTTTCCCCCACACGTCCCTTCCCAGGCGAGCAGGGCAGTGACAGCAGCCATGCTGCTGGCGGTGGTGGTGGGGTCACTGCTAGCCCTCGCGCTGCTCCTCTCCGGCCCCTCCGGCGCTGCTCCACTCTCCTCCCACCCATGGGCTGCCGCCCTCCATCGTCCCACCCTACCCCCGACCTCTTTCCCCCATCCCTCCCTTCCTCAAGTGAACAGTGCCTTGTCTCTTTTTCTCCTCCCTCTCCTCTCCCTCACTCTCCCACTGTCCCGCTCCTCTGCTCTCCCACTCCCGCCCTTCCCCCTCCCTCCTCCCCAGGCGAGCAGGGCAGTGACAGCAGCGATGCTGCTGGCGGTGGTGGTGGGGTCACTGCTAGCCCTCGCGCTGCTCCTCTCCGGCCCCTCTCTCCTCCGAGCCATGGGCTGCCGCCTGCCCTTCCTGCTGCCCGCCCTGCAATACCTCCGCATCCGCGCCCTCTCTGGTGAGGGGCTGTGCTCGCTCGTTCGTTCGTGTAGTTAGCAGTACATTGTTCCAATGAACGCCCTTCCTGCTGCCCGCCCTGCAATACCTCCGCATCCGCGCCCTCTCCGGTGAGACCCAGGGCCTTCCCGTTGGGTGGGTGGGTGGGTGGGAGACAGGGAGGCTGCGACAGCACCTTGGGATGAATAATAAATTGCCGCGAATGTCAGGCGCAGACACACCTTTGTCACGTTTGAAGAGAAAGAGGCCCAACCAAGGAACATGTGTGGGAACATATGTGGGCACACGTCTGGGAACACGTCAAACAACCCTTTTGACGTTGGACTTGCATAAGTCTCAGCCCAGCTGTATCCTTCCCCTTCCTGATTTCCCATCCCCCACCACTTCTTCCCATCCATGCCCCAGCGCCCTTCCTGCAGGCTATTCTGGTGGCGCAGGGCGCGTGTCTGGGACAACAGGACTCAGTCACGCCGCTGCTCATATTCGCTGCTGCAGCGGCTGCTAAGGGGTGACCGTCGCTGCTCAGATCACAGTTTTGAGTCAAATCAAAACGAATCTGGGGCAGCAGGACTTGAGTAAACCCGGTCACGTCTGTCACTTTTTCCCTCTCCCGACTTCCCTTCCCCCCTTACCCCCCATACACGTCCCCCCATCTTCTCATACCCCGCCCCTTCCAACCTTTACCCGCTGCCAGCGCCCTTCGTGTTGGCGATTCTGGTGGCGCAGGGCGCATGTCTGGGGCAGCAGGACTCGGTCACACCGCTGCTCATATTCGCTGCTGCCGCTGCGGTCAACGTGGCAGGGGATGCACTGCTAGCGCTCTACATGGGGTGGTGAGTGGGTGCACGCTGCTTTGCTCTATTTCCTGATTTGATATTACCTGCCGCCGATGCCGCTGCTGTCAACGTGGCAGGGGATGCACTGCTAGCGCTCTACATGGGGTGGTGAGTGCGTGCAGGCATGCTGCTCTATCTCCTGATCCAAAATCTCCTGCCGCTGGTGGTGCTGCGGTCAACATGGCTGTGGTTAATGTGGCAGGGCAGGGGATGCGCTGCTAGCGCTCTACATGGGGTGGTGAGTGCATGCATGCTGCTCTATCTCCTGCCGCTGGTGCTGCTGCGGTTATCGTGGCTGCTGTCAACGTGGCAGGCATGCTGCTCTATCTGCTAATCTAATATTACCTGCCGCCGATGCCGCTGCAGTCAACGTGGCAGGGGATGCGCTGCTAGCGCTCTACATGGGGTGGTGAGTGTATGCACGCAGCTGTGAGTCTCAGTCGACTCAAACTGTCACCCCCCTATCTAACCGCCCTCTCACCCCAACCACGTGCGTCTCACCCCAACCACCTGTGCTGTGCCATGGCGGCAGGGGTGTGCGGGGAGCAGCGTGGGCCACACTCACTCCTGGGTCAAGTGCTGGCTGCGCTTATCTTTGCTGCTCGACTGATAACTATCCCAACCCAACCATGTGTTTCCTATCCCCAATGGATCTGTGTGAGCGTTGCACGCACCGCACCCGCGTGTGTTGTGTGTTGTGTGTTGTGTGCGTGTGTGTGTGTGTGTGTGTGTGTGTGTGTGTGCGTGTGTGCGTGTGTGCGTGTGTGCGTGTGTGCGTGTGTGCGTGTGTGCGTGTGTGCGTGTGTGCGTGTGTGCGTGTGTGCGTGTGTGCGTGTGTGCGTGTGTGCGTGCGTGCGTGCGTGCGTGCGTGCGTGCGTGCGTGCGTGCGTGCGTGCGTGCGTGCGTGCGTGCGTGCGTGTGTGTGTGTGTGTGTGTGTCACCCCGACCATGTGCGTGGCGGCAGGGGTGTGCGCGGAGCAGCGTGGGCCACCCTCCTGGGTCAAGTGCTGGCTGCGCTCATCTTTGCTGCCAGACTGCGACCACGAGGTGCGGGAGAGAATGAGAGAGAGTGGGAGTGGGACGGGGAGGGGGGTTGAGATTGGGAGTGGGAGTGGGAGTGGGAATGGGGGTGGAAGTGGAAGTGGGAGGGGGAGGAGGTGTGAGAGTGGGAGTGAGAGAGGGTGCTTTTCTAGGCCATATCAGCATCATGGTTTATCAGCACTGTTGGAATCACCACCATGCACTGTCTGTAATTACCTAGCTTTCCCTTCTCCCCTATCCATCTTCCATTGTCTCATGTCAAGTTGGTTCGTGAGAATCCTCAGGTACCAACTAGTCCTATAAGCACCTTCTCCTTTTCTCCAACGCATTGAGGTCGTGTTTGAGGCGCCTCAAAAACGACCTCAGGTACCAACTAGTCCTATGAGCACCTTTTCCTTTTCTCCAATCTGCCTTCCCTCTTCTCATTTCCCGCCTGTTGCCTTTCTATTGTCCTTCTCCCTGTTTTCACTTTTCCTTCTTCCTTTTCGTCTTCTCTCATACCCGTCGCCTGCACCCACCACCACGTGAATCCGATTTTACAGTTGAGATGGAACAAGGGAGGGAACGTAAAGGGGAACAAAGGGGGGAGGCATTGAGCGGAGAAACAGGCTCACAGCCCAACAGAATAGACGAAAGCGCGCGGTTGGGAGAAGATTGGGCGGTGGAGCAGCACGGGGAGCGGCCGTTTCAAGAGAGGCAGCCACACTTGCACCAACAAGAAGAGCAACAGCAACAGCCACTGCAGCAAAAGAAGGAGCATGGTCAAGACCCCAAACATCAAGACCACCACCGGCAGCAGCAGCAGCAGCAGCAGAACCAGGAAGAACCAATTGCAAATATCGGTGCGGTGGTTTGGGTGGGGCCTTCAGGAGGAGGCTGCAGCGATTGCAAGCATGGCTGTGCCTCTTGTTACGCGATCTGTGCTGGGCATGGTGAGTTGGTAGGTGGAGGAGAGGCGAGAGGCGAGAGGTGAGATGTGTGGGAGGGGAGGCAGGAGGATAGAGGGGGGACCGAACAGGAGGCTGCAGCAATTGCGAGCATGGCTGGGGGAAAACTAGCAAGAGGGTGTTGCGGCTGTGAGAATGGCTGTGCCGCTTGTCACACGATCCGTGCTGGGCATGGTGAGTGGTGGCGGCAGGGGGCGAGATGCGAGAGGCAGAGAGAGGGGACGCAAGAGGTGAGAGGTTGCAACGAGCAGGAGGGTGCAGCTAACGCGAGCTGTGCCGCTTGTCACAAGAATCCATCCTGGGGATGGTGAGTGGCGGTGGCAGGGGGGCGAGAGGAGGAAGGATGGAGGTGGTGAGTGTCACTTTTCTGTGTTCCTCCCTTTTCCGCTCCGGCCTGCCCCCACTCCCTCTTTCCCCCTTCTTCACGTCTCCCACCATGGGTTGGTGTATGTATATGCTGTTTGCGTGGGGGGCGGGGCCGTAACAGTTTATGTGGTTAACAAGTCGTAAGAAGTGTTAATTTCCTCCTTCCCCTCATCCCCTCATCCCCCCATCCCCCCGTCTCCACATCCCCCCAATCCCCCTTCCCCCCACGCCTGCCACAACCATCAGGTGGTGTGCCTCTACTGTGGCGCACACTGCTGGCGTGCAGGGCAGCAACGGTGGGAGTGACCCCTGCTTGGTCGACTCAAACGTCGTCTTGCCCCACACACCCCTCTCCCCTCTCTCTCTCTCTCTCTCTCCCTTTCCCCCGCACAACATCACCATCAGGTGGTGCGCACACTGCTGGCGCGCGGGGCAGCAACGGTGGGAGTGACATTTCACCCAGTATCACCCCTTCCTCCCACCCCCCCTTGCCTGCCGCCACCGTCAGGTGGTGTATACACTCTTAGCGCGCGGGGCAGCAACTGTGGGGGTGGTGGCTATGGCTGCTCACCAGGTCGCCATGCAGGTGCGGTGCGGCATGGTGTGCTGGGTGGTGCAGTGTGTAGGGTGTAGGGTGTAGGGTGTAGGGTGTAGGGTGTAGGGTGTAGGGTGTAGGGTGTAGGGTGTAGGGTGTAGGGTGTAGGGTGTAGGGTGTAGGGTGGAGGGTGTAGGGTGGAGGGTGTAGGGTGGAGGGTGGAGGGTGGAGGGTGGAGGGTGGAGGGTGGAGGGTGGAGGGTGGAGGGTGGAGGGTGGAGGGTGGAGGGTGGAGGGTGGAGGGTGGAGGGTGGAGGGTGGAGGGTGGAGGGTGGAGGGTGGAGGGTGGAGGGTGGAGGGTGAAGGGTGGAGTTTGGGGGGGGGTGATCAGGGAGAGGCATGCACCAGCTGGATGCATCATGAGGGGGTTTTATACGTAATTCTCAGCCGCTCTTGTTCCTGTGCAATTGTTCCTCTCTCTCTCTCTTTCCATTCTCTTGAACACGCACACTGTTTCTCTCTCTCCCGCTGCCAACCCCCGCAGGTGTTCTGGACGCTCAGCTACTTCGCAGAGCCGCTCTCCGTCACAGCACAGTTTTGCTCTCCACTTCCGTTCCGTCCACTCAGTTGCTGCCACCCTTGCTTCACTGTCTCTCACCTGCTGCATGCAACCCCCGCAGGTGTTCTGGACTCTCAGTTACTTTGCAGAGCCGCTCTCCTTAGCAGCACAGTCCCTGGTGGGCCGAGACATCAAAAGCAGACCAAAGGTGAGAGATATGGATGAGAGGGAGCAGAGTGCATGTGTGAAAAAAAAAGAGAATTCGTCCGTCCGTTCGGCACAGTTTGCTGTATCACCCTCCTCTTCGGCTCCCTTCTGCCCGTGACCACTCCCAAACCCGTGCCAAACAGACGAATTCTCTTCGGCTCCTCTTTGGCTCCTCTCCGGCTCCTCTTTGGCTCCTCTCCGGCTCCTCTTTGGCTCCTCTCCGGCTCCCTTCTGCCCTTCAGCCCTTGACCACTCCCGAGCTCCCCTGCTTTGGCTTTTCCTCCCCCACCCTCCTCATCTCTTTACTGGCATGCATTGCCGCGCCCACTTCCGCAACTGCTCTAAGCCGGCTTTTGAGACGTCTCAGAAGTAGTTGACTTCTGAGTCCACTAAAAAGTCACCTCGTCTCATGCCTCGCCAGCTGATGGAGAAGCAATCTGCATGCTTCGCTGCGACCCCTCCCTCGGCTGTGCCAGGCCGGAGGGTTGTGAGACGTCCCAGGGCCTGCCATTTGCTCCTACGACAGCAAGCAAGCAGTCATGGCAGACCTTTTCTCCCTCCATGCCCTCACGTTTGAGATGCTGTTGACGATGATCTCGTTCCAGCCATCCCTCCTAACTGACTTATAAGGCGTCTCAAAAGCCATCCCTCCGAACCGCCCTCCCTCGCTCCCTCCCCCTCTCCAGCGTGCATCGCGCGCAGCACGCCAGCTGCTGCTGTCGGCAGCAGTCACAGGCGCCGTGCTCGTGCTGTTGCTGCTCACTCTCTCCCTCTGCGCCTCGCACCTGCTCTCCTCTGACCCAGCCGTGTACCACACCGTGCTGGCACTGCTGCTGCCGCTCCCTTCATCCAAGCCCCTCCTTACCTCCGCCCCTCCCTCCCTCGCTCCCCTCCCTTTTTTCCTTCCAGCGTGCATCGCGAATGGTGCGTCAGCTCCTGCTGATGGCAGCAGTCTCAGGCGCCATGCTGGGGCTGCTGCGTCTCCCTTCCTCTAAGCCCCTCCCCCCTTTGCCCGACCCTCCCTCGCCCCCCTTCCCTTCCAGCGTGCATCGCGCACGGCCCGTCAGCTGCTGCTGATGGCGACAGTCACAGGGGGCGTGCTGGCGCTGCTGGTGCTCTTACTCTCCCTCTGCGCCTCGCACCTCCTCTCCTCTGATCCGGGCGTGCGCCGTGCCGTCAGGAGCGTGGCGTGGCACAGCGCGGCGTGCGAGTGCCTTTGTGCTGTCTCCATGTCGCTTGAAGGCATTGCTATTGGAGCAGGTTAGGCAAGAAGGGAGCATTGAGGGATGTGAATGGGGAGTGGGGCGTGGCATGGCACAGCGCGGCGTGCGAGTGCCTTTGTGCTGTGTCCATGTCGCTTGAAGGCATTGCCATTGGGGCAGGTGGGGCGGGAGGGAGAATGCGAGTGGGCTGAGTGTGAGGCATTCACGAGAGCAGGGAGGGTTGTCTCCACAGAGCATGGAGGGACAATGAAGCGTGCGCTGGCACAGAGCCGCGTGCGAGTGCCTTTGTGCTGTCTCTATGTCCCTCGAAGGCATTGCCATTGGGGCAGGTGAGGCAAGAAGGGAGCATTGAGGGTTTGAATGGAGAGAGGCGCTGCGTGCGCTTGCCTTTGTGCCGTGTCCATCGGTGCAGGTGGGGCGAGAGGGAGATTGGGAATGGGTTAGTTGGGAGGCATTTGCGAGAGCATGGAGGGATGTCTAAGGACAATGAAGCGTGGCATGGCACCGAGCTGTGTGCGAGTGCCTTGCTGCTGTGTCCATGTCGCTCTTGGGCATTGCATTGCCATTGGGGCAGGTGAGGGGAGGGTGGTTGAGTGGAGCGGGAAGGGAGGGTAGTTGTGTTGGCGTGGCAGGGAGGATAGTTGAGAGAGAACAGAGGGTTGTTAACCTGACCACACATTTACTAGCTTCACCTCAATCTTTAGCTCTTTTGAGGCGCCTCAAAAGCTTCACCTCAGTCTATAGCTCAGGATCTCATCCTCCATTTTCGCACCCGTCTCTGAAACTTATCCTCCCTTCATGTTCATCTCCTTTTTTTACCGCCTGCTTTTATGTCTCCCTACCTCCCTACTGGTACCTACTCTCCTCCCTCAGATGATTTTGGTTATCTGCCAACCATGCAACTGCTCAATCTCCTTGTGGTTGCCGGCGCTTTTTTCGCCTTATTGCGCATTGGTCTCACATTGACGTCCCTCTGGTGGCTTCTGGTGATATTCTTCGCGTTTCGCATTGTGTACCACACAATGTACATCATCTCAAGAGGCTCCAAGCATGTAAGTGTTGTATTGCATGTTTGTTGAGCAGTTAGAAACTCTTTTTGGGTTATCGTGAGCACTGAGCAGTATTGTGGTGTCTGTCGAAGTCTTATCTAATGTTTTTGTTTTTTTCTTCTCTTTCATGGCAGGTGCTCCGGTATGCATGAGATGAAAGCAATGTAATCTTGTACATGTGTAAAATAGGTTGTTTCCTTTATGCTGCTTGCAATACAAGAAATCCTACATGGTGTGTACAGTATTTGGTATCCCACATTCTGTGTGGGTTTTAAATGTAGGTAATGGTGTATGAACTAGGCGGGGTTTACGCAATGAAATATCATGCTCAATTAACTTGGGCTGTTGTGTTATGTTGTTTTATAAAACGAATGAAGGTGCAAGTGTGGCTAACCATATTTGGCCCTCCTCGATTCTCCAGTATTGCGTATCCACTCGGCGTGCTTAATATCAAGTACGAAAATGTATACGATAGACCGTGCACAACCTCGCAATACCGAATCAGTTCCAGGGACGTCACATCTTACCACAGTGCATACCGAGGTTATGGTCACCAAATCCTACTGCACCTTTCTGAATCAGTCTATATTTCTGATGCAATCACATCCCTTGCCCAGCCAGATCCCGTCCCGTGCCCGTCCCACTAGTTCCATCCATCATTCGCGATTCCGTCTGAAGCAACTGCCGAATCGACCCAGCGAGCGCGCTGCTCTCCAGGACCGGGAGGCGGGAGCGCGAAATCGTCTTACGCTTCTGCCGCGGAATACTCTAGCGCGCCTGTTCCCCTGCTCCTGCGACAACCGGCGTCTCATTCAAGGTCAGGCGTCAGTCGCGACGGGAGCAGAGCAGAGCAGAGCAAACAGAGACGCACATCAGAGGTGACTGAATCCAACCTCTGTCCTGTCCTGATCGGTTCGTTCCGCTCCGATCCGCTTCAAAGCAGCCTTCGCGTATCCTCCTGTTCGCAACCGATGACTCGCATGACTCGCCGTCATGACTCGCCGTCATGTCACACAGGCATGATCGGCACACCGTAATGACACACCGTCACGTAACACACGGGCAAGACTGACACTCTATTATCACAGTCCCCCTCACACGTCACCCACATCGTTACCCACTCACTCGCTTTTCAGCAACCGCTGAATTCAGTCCAGTCACGGCCTATTCTCATGCCTGAAGGGCCCCTCCTTTCCATCATCCTTTACATAATTCTTTCCGTCATTCTTTCCGTCATTCTTGTCGTCATTCATTTCTCCCAGATTTCATGCCATGCGTTGTCAGCTGCTACGGCTAGTACTCGCGCGCTCCCTGTTCTCTCCATTCCACGTTGCGTGTGCGCCATCCCCCTTGGGATTCCCCCCGCTTCGTGCTTCGAAGCCCCATCGCCCCCCCCTTGTGTTACCCTCCCTACCCTCCCTCCTTGCAACGGTCTTCAATGCTGTTTCCGCTCTTCTCAACGGTCGTTTACTTCCCCCTCTTCCTCTCACCGCGCTTCCCCACCCCCCCCCCCTGACCCCCTCCCACCTGCGCGCCCACCTTCGCCCCGTCATCTCAAAACCCACCTGGTCGCCCACACTCTCGCCCCTTTGTGCCCTCTATCCTCCTATCCCGTTTTCACTCCACCCCTCCCTACACACGTCAGGCCGAGTACAGATATTATCTCTCTGCCTGCGACGCGGTTGCTCAGGTTCTTTCTCCAGTGATTCGGAGTCCGTCCCCCACTTATAGCTGCATTTGTGCAAGAACGGAGAGCCTGCATGGCATAGTGTGGCGCTAGTAGTGCAAGCACAAGTGAGAAGGAGCAGCAGCAGCAGCAGCAGCAGCAGCAGCAGCAGCAGCAGCAGCAAAAGGATCAAAAGGAGCAAGGAAATAATCAGCAATGAAGACACCAGAGGAGTTGCAAGCGGAGGAGGTGGCTCGTCTGCTGGATCCGCGGCGGTTGACGCTGCTGATAGCGGGCATGGCGACGCTGATCGCCAGCAACCTCTGTGTGAACCTCATCGGCCGACACACGCGCGAGTGGACCAAGCCGCGAGAGCAGCGCGCCATTATGGTGCTTGTTGGGCTGGCACCTGTCGTTGCCCTGGATTCCTATTTTGGTGTGTGTCAAGCTGGTTATTGAGTCGACTCAATGGTGCTTGTTGGACTCGCTCCTGTCGTTGCTCTCGACTCCTACTTTGGTGCGTGAATTCATGAATCAACGTAAGAATGCTGTTTTGAGGCGACACACGCGCGAGTGGACCAAGCCGAGGGAGCAGCGTGCCATCATGGTGTTTGTTGGGCTCGTGCCGGTCGTTGCCCTCGACTCCTACTTTGGTGCGTGCCTTGGTTGCTTGCGTGCTGGTTGTTGCTGGTGGTGAGCAACCTGTGGGTGAACAGTGGACCAAGCCGCGAGAGCAGCGTGCCATCATGGTGGTCGTTGGGCTCGCGCCGGTTGTTGCTCTTGACTCCTACTTCGGTACATACCTTGCTTGCTTGCTTGCTTGCTGGTTGTCGCTGGTGGCGAGCAACCTGTGTGTGAAGTGGGGTCTACATCGTGAACCTCATAGGGCGTCACACACGCGAGTGGGGTCGACTCAAACAGTCAAGTTACTGTTGATTGGGCTCAATAGTTGGTGCAATGGTTGCCTTGCATCCTCGACCAGTAATTTGGTGCACTCTTTTGCTGAGTGTCTTCAGTTTTCCTGATTTGCGTTGTTTTTAATATGTTTCGCTTGCGTTTGCTGGTTCTTTGATAAATTTCGTTCGCAATAGAGGAAGGGAGGGAGGGAGGGAGGGAGGGAGGGAGGGAGGGAGGGAGGGAGGGAGAGAGGGAGGGAGGGAGGGAGGGAGGGGGAGGGAGGTGTGAGGAGCCCGAGTACTACTACCAACTTACAATGTCATCCACCTTCCTCCCTTCCCACGTTCCTCCTCCTTTCACGCCCGCCCACACTTCACCCCCGCTCTCTGCGTGCAGGGCTGGCGGAGATGCTGGGGTTTGAGTGGCAGGTGGCGCTGCTACACCATCCGAGAGTTGAAACATCTCAAAACCCTCCCACCCGGCACTCCCTTCTCTTACACCCCCACTCGCACACCCCTCTGCATGCAGGGCTGGCGGAGATGCCGGGGTTTGAGTGGCAAGTGGCGCTGCTACACCTCCTCAAGGACTGCTACGTTGCATACGTACGCTCCCCCACACCTGCCCCTGCGCCCTCTGCGCCCTCTGCGCCCTCGGCTCGCTTTCCTTGGTGTTCCTGCTGTGATCGTTTGTTGGTGTTCCCCCCACCCCCACCCCACCCAAGCCTCCATCCCCCTTCTGCCTCTTGCCTTCATCTTTCCTTCCCCACCCATTATTTTCGCCTCGCCCTTTTTCTTTCCTCGCTATTTATCTGCCCTTCCAACCTCCGTCCATCTGTCCATCCATCCATCCATCCATCCATCCATCCATCCATCCATCCATCCATCCATCCATCCATCCATCCATCCATCCATCCATCCATCCATCCATCCATCCATCCATCCATCCATCCATCCATCCATCCATCCATCCATCCATCCATCCGTTAGTCTGTGCGTCGGTCCATCCTTCGATCTCTTTCGACCCTTCCCTCCCCTCCGCCCCCTCCCTTTCCTCCCTCCCCTCCTCTTCATCCCCTCTCCTCCCCTCCGCTTCCTCCCCTCTCCTCCCCTTTACACAATAATCACGGCAGGGCATGTCTGAGTTCCTCGCTCTGCTCTCAGCTTTGCTCAAACTGCCTCCGCGGCCCTCCGCCCCTCTCCCTCACACCTCCTCGCACCGCAGCATGCTGCAGCACTCCTTCCCCTTCTCTCTCTTCCTGGTACGCTCCCGATCTGGCTCCACGAGTTTTGACTCGACCCTAAAAAGTCAAAACTTGTTTCTAGGTCGACTCAAAGCACACCTTCCGCTTCACTCTCTTTCTCGCGCGTTCCAGAACTGGCTCCATTGAAGTTCTACTTTCGTCTTTTTGTCTCTCCTCGTTTTCTTTATCCCCATATGCCATGCGCTTTGGAGGTACCACCTGGAACCAGACTGGCTTTCTTCCTCGCGTCTAGGTGACTTTTGAGTCGACTCAAAAGTCATCTCCTTGTCATTCATCCTGTATCATTTCTTGCCTCCCATCTCCTATTCTGCTCAGAATGGCACTTCTCTCCTTCAGCTATCTAGCGCCAACACCCCACTCATGCCTCCTTCCATAATGTACCACCCACTTCTTTTGCTAGATTCTCCCCCCCCCTTTGCTTCATCCATCTATCGTGTCCCGTATCGCATTCTTCCTCCTCCCGCTGCCCGCATCATATCCTGGTTTCCCCTCTTCTTCTTTCTCCTCCTCTCCTTCCCTTCCGAGCAGCGGCCCGAGGTGCGGGCAAATCGAGCAACGCTAAACCTCCTCTTCAAGTGGATCCGCCAGTTCACGCTGCTCCTCCCCATCCTCTCCCTCCTCTCCTTTCTCCTCCACCTCCAAACCTCCCTCTTCCAACCCTACCTCCCACTCCCTCCCCACATCCACTCATCCCTCTCATGGCTCATCACTCTCTCTCAGCACGCATCACTCTATCTCGCTGCGTACGCGCTCCTCCTCCTCTACCATACCTTTGAACGCCCCTTTCTGCCGTTTAGCGCCCAGAGCAAGTTCCTATGCCTGGTGCCGCTGGTATTCCTGCCCTATTGGCAAAATGTGCTGCTGGATGTGCTGGTGGGGTATGGGAGGATTCAGGCGAGTCAGCTGCCCTATACGCCGCAGAATTTGGAGTGGGCAGTTGGGCATTTCCTTGTTTGCTGTGAAATGCCCCCGGCTGCCGTCGCCCTGTGTTATGCGTTTCCGGAATCGGAGTATAGTGTGGAGAGCAGGCGGAGAGGGAATGGAGAAGATGGGGTGGGTGAAGACCGAGAATGAGTGTCTGTATGTTGTTGTGACCCTGTCTGTTAGTTTAGAGAACATTAAGTAACTTTAGGTCCAGAACTAATCAATGAGAGGGTGTTTAGCATATTGTGTACATTTTTTCTTATGCTTCACGTGGTTTGTTGATTTTGTGTTATTAGCACTTTTTATGGTTGAGTTCATTGTACAGTTTCCTGTGAACGTTGTCGAATCATCCGAAGCGCGTAAGCGATTTCGCCGCCACCGACTCGGGCTGGTCAAGCGTTTGCGTTCTAGGGCGAGCGAAGTGAACCGCTACAGTACCAGGCGCCTCGAAACCCTCAGCTCGGCACCAGGCCTGTCGAAGTTTCTGGGGCTCGTACTTGCGCTCCCCAGCTCCTCCCCATCTGACCCTTGGTTGGGTGTAGGTGAGCGTTTTGGCGCCCTTAACGGGCACGGGCGCACCCCAAAGTGAAAACTTGAAATCCGGGCATGTGCGAAGTTTGCACACACTGTATTTGGTTAAGCGAGGGAGCTGCTACGCCAGAGTGCTTCAGTTCCTTTGACGTGCTTTGGTTAAGTGTGTTGGAGTTCTCTGTGTCCAATAGCCAAATTCAGCAAACCTAATCCTATGTCATTGCTGTAAACTGCGGCCAGCTCGTATTGTACGCTAAGGGATTGTTCGGGTGCTCCAAGGTTGACTGAGATTGTATTCCTACGTAGGGACACCATCCGAAGATGGGACACCTGGTTGTTTTTTTTATTATTATTTTATTTGCTTTCGAATGGAAGGCTACGTCAGATGTTACCCCGTAGTTTGAAAGGCTGGAAAACATCTCATGCCCAATCTTGCGTCAGAAGTAGCTAGTCTCGATGTGTCGGGTGACGAGCGGAGTATGCGAGTCAGATGAACTCACTCAGCCGCACTTACTCAACTGACTGACACTTGAGACGAGCGGTGTACTGACATTGCTGAGAAATTCGTGTGTTTATTTTATAATTGCAACTTTCAGAGCATCGTTTGTAGGTCACGTTGAACTAGGAGAAATAGCCATGCAACACGGAAATTGTCCCAACTTCGCATGGTGTCCCTGCGTTGGAATACAACCTGAGACACACTACACACACGAGATTGGCTAGAAAACGCTAAGGGAAAAATCCCCTCCGCGCGCTCTCGTGCAGACTAAGGAGAAAGAGGGGGGTGGGGGGGTGTCTCAGGCACCCTGGGGGGGTGGGGGGTCCTACGATCGGAAACCAAAACTTAGATAAAGGGGAAGGCCTGGTTTCGTCCCTTAACGCATCCGGGGAAGGGTCGAACGAAGCACTTAGTGGCACGGGTGGGGTGCGAATCTAAAACTTGACGCATTGGAGCTGGAGCGAAACTAGCCCTTAATGTCAGGGCATTAAGGGCATATGCCCGTCAATCGTCAGGCCTGCTCGGCACACGCAGATCCGCCTCCCTCAGAATTCGCCCTTCGTTGTTTTCCAGACCAACACACCCCACCCCACCCACACACATCCCCCCTCACCTCCGCACCAACGACTTCGCTTCACACATGAACAGTAACTTCTGAACTGAACCATTCCATACCCATGATTCACCTCTTGCCTGCCTGACCCACCCAACCAAACCCCTCAAGCCTCCCTCCCAACCCAACCAATCTCTCCCCCCCGCCCTTCTACCCACCTGCTCTCCCTCACTCCCTCCCTGCTGTGCCCAGCCCAGCCCAAATCCAACAACCACCCACCCAACAAACATGCGAGAGGCGCAAATTCCATCAACCACCGCCGCCACTCGCACCACCGCACCGCGCGCACATACCATTTCGCTGGCACTCGATATCCCTCAGCCTGCGTTTCTCCAGTCCAGTCAACCTTCCTAACTTTGAAACTCTTGGCCTTCCTAACTCAGCAGCAGCAGCAGCACGGCTCCTCATCACGTGACTAGAATCGCAAAACGCGCCGACGTCTCAATGCGATAATAGTTGTGTCGTGTTTCGCTATTATGCGAATGCGGAGCAGATATGCTCGATCGGGCCATCCGCCGCGATCGGCGCTGACTCCCAGAAAGGGAACCGACGCGACGTGTCGCACTGGAGCGCGTCGCTTCTAGACTTGGCAACGCATTAGAACCAAGCTGGTTTGGTATATAAACACCATATAGTTTCGCAGCACTTACTATAGCTTCCGCGATCGCTGTATTTACGAGCCGCGACGGCCGCCAACTGAACGAGTCGCACTGGTCATCTCATGTCTCACAAGATCAACACAATCTTCCGATCCGGCAGCGCCCGCTCATTGCGCTCCCCCTCAATCTCCGCTCCTCTGATCCTCGCGCCTCCGCTTCGCTAAATTCTCCCACACACGGCGCCCTGCCTTTCCTCCGGCACATCCCCTTCCCCCCCTGCGCGAGCCGGAGCGGGAGATCCCGCTCCGCCAGCCGGCGCAAATGGCGCGCATTGAAGCCTCCGCCAGCACTTTCTACCCCGCACACCGCGCCCCCACACAACCCTCCTCTGAAGCGGCAACCTACCCTATTTCTGAACTCTAAATTCTTGTGTCAGTGACGCGGGATAGGCCCATTGCCGAAGCTGCGGCTCGGGCTTCACCGCCTCATGCGGCTCCTAGTAGATTGAACCCGAAGCTCCATTCTCCAGCCCTCGAACCTGTCAGATTGAAGCTCTCAGACCTGTCAGATTGAAGCTCTCAGACCTGTCAGATTTCTCTCTTTTGGGATCGCTGAATCTCCCGATCTCGGGAGCTCCAAGCTTCCACGAATCTTCGCTGCGCGAACCCCCCCATTCGCGTCGCGACACTCACCCGTCGGGATGCGTACAGCGGAAGATGCTGGTAGTCGCCGTGCGCTGAAATCTCCAGATCCGCGCGCGGCTCGCCATGCCCCGCGCCGTGCGCTCGCCGTGTTGCGGCTCCTGGCGATCGCCGTTGCAGCCGTGGCGCTGGGCCGTGGATCCCGCTGCTGCTGCCACGTAGCAGCGACAACCACCTCACCCGCTGCTGCTTCTGCTGCTGCTGCTGCTGCTGCTGACGTGCAGCAGCAACAGCAGAAGCAGCAGCACAAGGAGCGAGGGTGGATGGATGGGTGGGATGTGGAAGGGTGCTGTGTGGGAGACATTGCTGATGGAAAGGATACTCCAGCCGCCATCATCCGATGCGGTGAGTTTGATTGTCCCTCCCCGCACCCACTGCTGCAGCAGTCAGTTGGCTTTCGAGGTTCTTTTAAAATCAACTGCTCAGGTCACAGCGCAACGAAATGAAATTCGAGATGCATACTCCTCCCTCCCTTCCTCCCACACCCCCCACCTATCGCAGTCCCGTCCCAGTCGGTGTCCCGCCTTGTGCCCACTCGCCCCGGCTGTCTCTACTCGCTCTCCTTCCTCTTCTCCTCTCGCCCCCTGGAGCTGCTTCACCAGCGGCAGACGCAGCAGCAGCAGAGGCTTCAGAAAGGAGAAGCAGAAGCACACGCAGAAGCAGCAGTAGCGGGAGAGAAAGAAGTAGAGGAAGCGGGAGCAGCAGGGAGTGTGGTTGTGACGGTTGTGGGCGTATATGAGGAGTGTGAGCACCACCTTCTGACAGACGTCGTGCAAGAGAGGATGGTGAGTGGGGAATTAACCAGTCCCAGTGTCCGTGTTGGTGTCTGCTTCGGTGCCAGTCTGGGTGTCGGTGTCAGTGTCAAATGTCAGTCTTTTCTAGAATGCAAACTGTCAATGTCTTCTCTCATTTTCTCTCGCACAACGACCTTCCCTTTCCCCCTTCTCTTCCCCTTCTCGTCCCTTCTCCCTCTCCAATTGTCCCTCCCCTCCCCGTCCCGTTTTCTATCCGTCCAGACCCACCACTGGACTCTGAAGTCGTTGCCATTCACAGCCACCACTCCCTCCACCCTCCTCACCTTCTCCTCCCTGCCCTCCTCGCCCCACTCTGCTGCCGCCGCTTCTGCGTGCTGCCGCTGCAGTCGGAATAGCAGCAGCAGCAGCAGGATGCACGAATGCTCGTCTCTTCTCTCAGCAGTTCCTGCCGCAGCAGTTGCCAACGTTACTCTCAGCCTCTTACACTGCCCTCTGTATGCAAGCATCCGCGCATACACATGCAATCATGCAATCACGAGCAAGCCTGTGATGTGTTTTTGAGTTGTCACGTGTCTACCCACAATAGACTGTTTTCTGTACTTGACGTTTAAAAAAAGCATACATGGTGCCTCCCTACCTTCTATAGTAACACTACTGCCTTCCTAACGTACATTCTCATCTTCTTCTGTTATCCCTCCCTTTTCCTATCTTCCTTTCCCCTGTCCTCTCTTTATGTGTGCATTGTCATCATCATCAGAAGCAGCAGTAGCAGCAGCAGCAGTGAACACTGCAGCAGAAGGAAAGACGAGGACCAAAAGGAATACCAAGAAGAAGGAACCTCAAATCATTTTTCTTTCAGTAGACTTCGAAACGAAGATGTGGGGGCAGCAGGATCAACACAGGGAGTTGATAAGGACTCGCGCACACAGTCACACTCGGCCTCTCTGCCACGTGTCGCTCTCCTGTCGGATAGCATCAGCTCCAGCTTACCTGCTGACGTGGCAGCACATATGGCGGCGGCAGTGGCAGCAGTGGAAGCAGCGGCAGAGGTTGAGGGTTGGGAGGAGAAGGAGCAGGAGCAGGGATGGTGGAAGGGGCACGGGCAGGGGAAAGGAAGATGGAAGGGAGAGGAGGAAGCAGAGGGAGGAAAGGAGAGTGGGGACGTAGGGGAGGGGGTAGAATCGTCTGCTGCTCTACGTGATGCTTCCTTTGCCTTACCTTCACTCCATCCTCGCACTCTCCTTCGCCACCTCGCCGCTCCTCCCCCTTCTCCCTCGCCTCCTCCTCCTCCTCCTCCTCCTCCTCCTCCTCCTCCTCCTCCTCCTCCTCCTCCTCCTCCTCCTCCTCCTCCTCCTCCTCCTCCTCCTCCTCCTCCTCCTCCTCCTCCTCCTCCTCCTCCTCCCCCTCGTTCTCCCTCTCCTCCTCCCCCACCTCCCCCTCCTTTTCCTCCTCCTCCTCTCCCAACCTCCGCTCCTCGCCACTCCTTTCCATCAAGCACTGGCCTTCTTTCCCACATAACCAAACCATCTAACCCCCTCCCAACACCTACTCCTCCTCCACAAACCATCTTCCCTTCGAACATGCCCCCCACGCACCCACAAATGCAAATGCAGACGCAGGCTCAGTCCCACATGCAGATGCAGACACAGACGCAGAATGACTCGTCTTCCTCCCAACCCATGGCCCTCCTCCCTCTGTCTCTCTTTCCCTTCACTCTCCTCCCCCTCCACACCCCTCCCGTCCAAAACAACCCCCCCCCTCACTCTCTTCTCAAACAGCCTGCCACAAAACCCCCCTTTCGCAAACCTCCCATCGGGAAATCCCCCCTCCCCAAGCACCCCCCAGTCAGGCGGAAACCCCCCCGCCCTCCGCCCCGGCCCCCTCCCCGCCCCCCACCAACCCCCCCCAGCCCCCCGCCTCCGCCCTCCCCTCCCCCTGCTGCGTGGTATCGCTTTTTTGAAGCGGGGAAGCCTGTAAGGAGGATAGTGGTAGCGTATAACGGGGGGAACGCCAAGGTTGAAGGGAATAACGCGAAGCTGACGTTTCAACGGGGAAAGGGAGGTGAGTGCCACGCAAGAGTAAGGCGGGGCGGGGCGGTGGGGTCTTGTGAGTCGACTGGATATTAGTGGCGTGTAATGGGAGGAACGCCAAGGTGGAAGGGAATAACGTGAAGATGACGTTTCAACGGGGAAAGGGAGGTGAGTGAAGGAGCATGTGAGTCTATGGGAAGGGAGGGTTGTTTGCTGCATGCTTAACAGTCTATGTATATTTTGGGATGGGATGAGATCATCATGAGGTGAAGGATGTGATTCTGCAGCTAACTAAGCATAGAGTGCGGAATTGTTAATTGATTTCCATGCTATCCTGCCCCTCATGCTATCCTGCCCCTCATGCTATCCTGCCCCTCATGCTATCCTGCCCCTCATGCTATCCTGCCCCTCATGCTATCCTGCCCCTCATGCTATCCTGCCCCTCGTGCTATCCCCCCCCTCATGCTATCCTGCCCCTCGTGCTATCCTGCCGTGCGGTGCGGAATTGTTAATTGATTTCATGCGAGAATGTTAATTGACTTCCACACCGTGCTATCCTGCCCCTCATGCTCCTCCTTCCTTCCCTGCTCCCATCCTCTTCCTCTTACCCCTCCACCCCGTTCCCCCTCGCCTCCCCTCAGGCTCCCTATGGCAATCAGCAGCGCCCTTCTCATCGGGTGTCTTCCACACCGCACTCTCCTGCCCCTCGGGAAACACCTCTGGCCTGCTCGTGTCTTTTGGGGTGAGCAAATGCTGCTTCTGGTGCCGTGTGATGTTGTATGGTGTGATATGATGTGATATGGTGTGATTTGGTGTGATATGATGTGATACGGTGTGATTTGGTGTGATATGATGTGATATGGTGTGATTTGGTGTGATATGATGTGATATGGTGTGATTTGGTGTGATATGATGTGATATGGTGTGATTTGGTGTGATATGATGTGATATGGTGTGATTTGGTGTGATATGATGTGATATGGTGTGATTTGGTGTGATATGATGTGATATGGTGTGATTTGGTGTGATATGGGGATGTGCCGTGAGGTATTGTGCAGTCTGGTAGGGGTGACATGTGCGGCTCTGTGACTGGCTCTGTCAGTCTGACATGACAGGTGTGTGTGGTATGGTTCGTTCGTGCAGTACGGTAGGGGTGTATGCCTTCTGAGCTGACTTTTGAGTCGACTCAAAAGTAAGCTCAGTGTGGTATGGTCCGTGCAGTATAGTAGGGGTGTGTATCTTGACTGTCTGTACTGGGGTGACAAGTGCAGCGGTCTGCTGTGGTGTAGAGTGGTGCAGATGGTGGCATGTGAAGTGGCAGGCGTAATGGCAGGTGCAGAGCCGAACCGCTATCGTCCTATCCTCGCTCCAAACCTCCCGTCCTTTCCCCACGCCCCTCCCTCTCCCTTCCCTTCCTCTCCCGCTTCCCCCCCCTCCCTCAGCTATCCAACACAGGCAGCACGGCCCCAGCAGCGGGAGTGACGTTCGACATGGCGGGGAGCAACAAGCAGATTCTGCTTGCCACTCCGCACCGCAGCAGCAAGGCCTTCCCCACCCAAGTGCCCCTCCCCGCGCCCTGTGACTCGCACAAGCCGTCATCCAGACCACAATGGCCAGTCCACAGCACAGCACCTGTTTCCCCTCTCCTCCCTGCCCCTCCCTTCCTTTCCCCTCTCTCCTTCAGCTATCTAATACCGGCAGTACAGCTCCAGCAGCAGGAGTGACGTTTGACATGGCGGGCAGCAACAAGCAGACGCTGCTGGCCACGCTGCACCGCCGCGGCAAGGCCTTCCCCACCCAAGTGCCCCTCCCCGCGCCCTGTGACTCCGTGCCTGCCCGCCTATCCCTCTACTGGGACGCCCATTATGTCTCGTGAGTTGACTGGCGTTGACTTGGGTTGACTTGGGTTGACCTGGGTTGACTTTCCTGAGCGCAGTGTAACCAGTGCTGAAACCAGTGATTCTGCATAAACACAATACGGCCTGACATTCAGGTACAATCTCCCTTCCCTCGCCCTGTGACTCCGTGCCTGCCCACCTCTCCCTCTACTGGGACGCGCACTATGTCTCGTGAGTTGACTAGCCTGACCTGACCCCAGTGTACCTCCTTCCCTCGCCCTGTGGCTCTGTGCCTGCCCGCCTCTCCCTCTACTGGGACGCGCACTATGTCTCGTGAGTTGACCTGGGTTGACTTGGGATGACAGGAGTTGACTGTACTTGACAATAGGTGAAACCATTGGTTCCATATAAACTCAGAAAGGCCTGACCTTCAAGTACAAGCTCCCTCCCTCTCTTTGCCCTGTGACTCCGTGCCTGCCCGTCTCTCCCTCTACTGAGACGCGCACTATGTCACGTGAGTTGACTTGGGTTGACTGGTTTGACAGTAGTTGAAACCATTTGTTCTGTATACACACTGAGAGGCTTGGCCCTCAGGTGCAAGTCCATGCCTGCTCGTCTCTCCCTCTACTAGGACACGCACTATGTCTCGTGAGCTGACTTGAGTTGACTTTTGTTGGGACTGGGGTTCCTGCACACACACAGGCAGACGTGACCCCACAATACGAGCTGGTTTCTGAGAAATCTCAACACCCAACCAGCCTCCTCTCCTCTCGCCCTGTGGCACCGTGTCTGCCTGCCCGCTCCCTCCTCTCCCTCCTCTCCCTCCTCTGGAACACGCATTACTTACATTACACCTCATAAGTGATCTATCACAATCTAAGAAGTGCAAGCAAGGCATGACTCCCCACTCCACCAGCGAGTACCATCAGCTCAGCAGGAGAGTGTGCCGGGGTCCCCACTTCTCCTCCATCCATCCCCCCTCACCCTCCCATCAGCTGGTATGTGAACCGCCAGTTGGAGCGCTACCTACTGTTTCACATCACCCAAGGACATCCCCCGTACCCCTCCATCCCTCTCCCCTCTCTCCCAACCCCCATCAGCTGGTACGTGAACCGCCAGTGGGTGCGCTACCTGTCAGCATCGCCTGTTGACATCTCCTCTCCCGTACCCACCATACCCCCCCACCCCCCTCCCCCCCCCCCCTTCACACCCAATCAGCTGGTACGTGAACCGCCAGCTGGTGCGCTACCTGCCTATTCACATCGACCATATGCATCCGCCATACTCCCCATCCCTCCTCACCCTTCCCTCCCCCCCCACCAACACCACCCTCTCATCAGCTGGTACGTGAACCGCCAGTTGGTGCGCTACCTGCCGCGGACCTCCTCCCCTCTGCGCTTCCCCGCGGTGCCGCTCGTTCTCTTTGGCACCATCAAGGCGGCTTCTCTCACCAACATGGGCAAGTGGGCCGGCAAGATGACCAGCGACCCCCTGCCCAAGACCGCCATGTGGACAGGTGGGTGGGTGTGCAGTTGGGTGGGCGGGCGGGTGAGGTTTGAGACGCGTCAAAAGGACGGCCTGCTCGTTCTCTTTGGCACTATCAAGGCGGCTTCTCTCACCAACATGGGGGGGTGGGCTGGCAAGATGAGCAAAGACCCCTTGCCCAAGACTGCTACGTGGACAGGTGGGTGAGTGGGGGGGGGTGCTTGGGTGCGTGGGTGGGTGTGTGGGTGTGGCTGTGTGTGGCTTTGTGTGTGGCATTGTGCGTGCACGTGGCTGGTGGTGTGTGTGGAAAGAGGGTGGTTGAGCTTCCCCGCGGTGCCGCTCGTTCTGTTTGGCACCATCAAGGCGGCTTCTCTCACCAACATGGGGGGATGGGCCGGCAAGATGAGCAAAGACCCAAGACCGCCACGTGGACACGTGCGTGCGTGCGTGCATGCGTGGGTGGGTGGGCTTTTGAGGCAAGTCGACTCATAAACTCGCCTCTGCCACTCGTTCTCTTTGGCACTGTCAACCAAGGCTGCTGCGCTCACCCACCCACCCACCCACCTGGTGGGATGGCAGCGAGGCAGTGGACTACTGCAGTACAAGCACTGCTTGGGGTGCGACGGGTGCGAGGTGGGTGGGCAACTAGTGGTGCCGAAAAACCGCCAAATCACCACACTCCACCCCTTCCAACCCCTCCCGTCCTCCTTTCATTTCAGGAATCGCCTCCATCACGCCGCTCATGGCTCGGTTGGGCGCCCCTCCCCCTCCGACTCCCCTGCCTGTGGTGAAATGGCCTGCTGCTCTGGGTCTGGGCCCCATGGTGGGGCCTCTGGCTGTGGACTACTGCAGCGAGCACTGCTTGGGATGCGAGGGGGCTACCAGTGGCATGGCAACTATACGATTCGACAACAAGTGCGGTGCGTGCGTGCTGCTGTGGTTTCTTAGTCGACTTACAAGTCACGTCTAGCTGTGGACTACTGCAGCGAGCACTGCTTGGGGTGCGAGGGGGCCACTAATGGCATGGCCACAATGCGATTTGACAACAAGTGCGGTGCGTGCTGCTGTGTTAGTTTTGGTTGACTAATATATCGCCTCTGGTCGTTGTAAGGAGCACTGCTTGGGGTGAGAGGGGACCACTAGCAGCATGGTGGTGAGTAATCGATTTGACCATTTGTGGGTGCACATGCACTCGTGCATGTGTGCGTGCGTGCGTGTGTGTGTGTGTGTGTGTGTGTGTGTGTGTGTGTGTGCGTGCGTGTGTGTGTGTGTGTGTGTGTGCGCGCGCGTGCGCATGCGTGTGTGTGTGTGTGCGCGTGCGCATGCATGTGTGTGTGTGCGCGTGCGCATGCATGTGTGTGTGTGCGCGTGCGCATGCATGTGTGTGTGTGTGCACGTGCGCATGCATGTGTGTGTGTGCACGTGCGTGCATGCGTTCATGTGCTTGTGTGTGTGTGTGCGTGCATGTGCGCACACGCATACATGCCTGGATGTGCATAGATAATTCACTCACTGCATCCACACCTGCTCACATACACCCTCCTGCCTCTTCCTTCATCCTTGTACCCCTCCTCTTCCTCCCCCCTTCCTCGCTGTCTCCCTCCCTCGCCCCACCCTCCTCCTTCCATCCCTCCCCTCCTTTCCCCTTCGCCCCTCCGTCCGCCTTCCCTTTTCCACCTTCCGCATCTCCCCTCCTGCCCTCATCTTCTTCTGCCCACCCTTACTACTGGCTCTCAATTTCCAAGCACCACACTTTTCTTTGAGACATCTCCAGACTCACCCTTGCTGTCTGCACCTTCATGTGCACCCCACCCAACCGTCACTTCCAAAGTCGACCTTGCCTTCTGCGCCTTCCTCTGCGCCTTCCTCTGCGCCTTCCTCTGCACCTACATCTGCACCTTCCTCCGCACCTTCCTCCGCACCTTCCTCTGCACCTTCCTCTGCACCTTCCTCTGCACCTTCCTCTGCGCCTTCCTCTGCGCCTGCCTCTGCACCCTGCCTGCACTGCAGGCTCGCGCTTCCGGTCACCGGAGCCTTTTGCGTTTGGCTTCTTCTCGGTCGACTTCAAGTGCCCCTCCGGCCTCACCAGTGGCCTCGTCTCCAGCTTCTATGTCAGTCGCCCCTGTCCTGCCATGCCCTGCCTTGCCTGCCCCACTCTGCCATGCCCTGCCGTGCCCCGCCCCACCCTATTGTGTCACGCTCCTGGATTTGCTGTGGACATCACTGTTGGTACGAATTTGGATAGAGGTGGCCTTCACTCCAGCTTTCAAACACCCTTGTGCACCTCGTTGCCTCATCATATCAGCAGCCTTGTCTCCGCTTTCTTTGTATATCATCCTTCCCTACCCTGTCCTCACTGTCTATCCTGCCTACCCTGCCTGCCTTGCCCTTACCCTGCCTTCCCTGCCCTGCCCTGCCCTGCCCTGCCCTTCCCCTGCACCCCAGCTTTCCACACAGGAGGGCAGCAGGAGGCAGGACGAGATAGACTTTGAGTGGCTGGGCAAGAGCAACATGCACGTGCAGACCAACTACTACGTGACAGGCGTGGGCCACCATGAGGGCTTGCACACCCTCGGTTTCGACTGCTCCAAGGCGTTTCACAACTACGCCATCATGTGGACCGCCGCCCGCATCGTGTGAGTAAAACTGCTTGGCGCCTTCGCTGGGTGCAGCTTGGTAGGGATGGCAAGATTGTGGGCCACCATGAGGGCTTGCACACCCTTGGCTTCGACTGCTCCAAGGCGTTTCACAACTACGCCATACTCTGGACTGCAGCCCGCGTCGTGTGAGTTCTGCTTGGTGGGGTTCGATGAGTGGGGGTCAGGTGGGTTGGTGGGCTGGCACAGCCTTGGCTTCGACCGATCCAAGGCGTTTCATAACTACGCCATCCTCTGGACCGTTGCCCGCATTGTGTGAGCGCAGCTTGGTTTGGTTCGGAGATTGCAAGCAGCAGTTCGCTTGATGGGTTGGCGTGTCTACATGCCATTCTGTAGACTGCTAAGAGCATTCTGTGGGAGCTTGCCACCCCGTAGGTGCGCAATGGGGGGTTATGGGGGGGCCTTGTTGTCTTGTCGACTGTGTGAGTGATAATCTCTTGGAGCTGATTCCTTTGGCCCCTTTCTGTTGAAGGCTATGTATGAATGCATTTGCCCCTTCAGTGTTCTCACCAATTTGATTTCGTGCTGGCTTTTTTACTCTTTGTGCAGGTGGTTTATTGACAAGGTCCCTATACGAGAGGTTGTCAACAATACAGCATTGTCAAATGAACCTTATCCATCCAATCCGTCTTTCCTCTATGCTAGTGTTTGGGATGCAAGTGGAATAAGTCAAGGGTTGTGGTCAGGAAAACGAGCCCGAAGGACGATAGGAAATCGTGCATGGAAGGTGTTTGCCAGATACAAGAACATAAAAGTAGTGTCTCCCTTGTTTTAATAAGCTGAGATGGAACACTTGCCTGCAAGCTGTTTTGTTATAAAAACGTATCGTCTTTGCAACTTACTGTTGTTGTCGAACGGTTCTGGTCGGCCTCCTCTGGGTTTTCCGAACACACTTGCACAAACCAGACTGACATGGCACGTGCCATGTCACCAATCTGTGACCTCCTCATTTCTCTGCTACCGAACCAAAAGCCTCCACACACACACACTTCCCAGCACTTTCTGGCGCCTTCGTCAGCCCGTCCTCCTTTCGCGCCTTTCACTGCCCCCAAATGCCACGATGGGTTCTCGAGGCGCATGTTCTCCCAGTACAGTACGCGTGATCAAGCTTCAGGTTAGGGCGCGTGGGTTGCGTTTCTGGTCACAAATCCGAAACCCAAGTCGGTAACCACGCTTGTCGAAACCATATTATTTGTGGCGACGTTCGCTGGAACCGCAATCAAGGATGCCCTTTCTGTCAGAGCGCAATCTCTGCTCCCGGCCCTCCAATAACAAGTTCCCACTTCCTCGGTTTCATCCTGGGCCCTCCGTGACAGTGACCCCTCACACAGGACTTCGATGTTCCTTCCTATCTCCCACATGGTCAAAACCCTAACCAAACCAAGCAGCACCAGTTCCAGCAGTGCATACGCATCCCCCCAAACCCAATCCGTGTTCCCCCGCGCGCTTGCCTGCCGTGCTAGTTGCGGAGCAAGCCCCGCAACCAGCTTCCACTTCCCCCGTCCATGTCCCCAATTTCCCCCTCTTTGGTCACTGCCCCCGTCAATTCCCCCCGTCACTCCCCCGCCACTCGTCACTCTTCCCCGCCTTTCACCTCCGTTCCTCTCTCCCACTGGCACTCCACCCAACCCTGCTCCTCCCCCTGCCTGCTGTTCCCTCTCCCTTGGTGACTCTCTCTCCCCTCCCCCAATCCCCCTGTCCCACCCAACCCAACCCCACCCTTGACTCGTTGGGAGCCTCTCTCTCCATCCGTTGCTCTCCGCAACGGTCAGCTTGTCATGTCCAGTGTCAATTCCCACTAGGTTCCTAGTAGGGTCCTGAAAGGGGTCTCTAAACCCCTTCTGCGATCTCGCGAGATTTGCTGAGTGATCCTCTGGAGTTGATTAGTGGGAGTCCAACTTTCCTGCGATTTTTGTTTTGGAATCTGCCGTCGGGGTTTGCGAAGGTTTCGTAGGTCCTTACCCCTTCGGTCGCCCCCGTGTCGGAAAGCGACCCAGTTAGTGTACTCTTGTTTTCCCAAAGGATCAGGTTGATCTGTGTTCGAAGCTGCGCCTCGATAACAACTGCTGGTCGATCGAGAGATAGCGAAAATGGCGGCGAGTCAAGTCTAGGTCCATTTTGACTTTTGATCAATCGATGTCCGATGTACGTTCTCCTTCTCTTACTTGTCCTCTGGTGATTCGCATTTGGTTTTCCTGGACATGTGTTGCTCGTCTCCCAGCTTGATTTTGTCCCTTGTCGTTGACCTCCGCTTTTTGGAATTCTAGGCTCGTGTTAATTTCTTGCTAAGTAAGACATGTCTATTGGTTTCTGCTTCCTATGGGATCAGGAAGTTTCATCAGGTCGTTTCTCCCCGGTACAATTCCATACTGTTTCTTGCGATTGGCATGTGCAGCAGCAGGGGATGGTGAGCGAGTCCCCCATTCGAAGAACAGCGTTTGCTGCCGTCATGGAAGCGGAGGCACCAGAGAAGCTGGTGGCACGGGTTGGACGGAGTCATCAAAGATATGCGGAAGGGGTTCGTCTCGTTGCTGGGTCAGCCCTTCCTCCTGTCTTTTGTTCTTCCTGTCATCAAATCGCTACTTGATAGCTGTAGCACCTCCCGACTCGCATTCTCCTCCATTTCGCTCATTTTGTGAACATCCTCGTGCCGTAATTCACATTTTTTGCCGTTTTCTTTCGTTGATTGTTCTGAGTTTTCGCTAAACGTTGTTAAGCCGTTGTTGCCGTTGCAGGTGCATTCCCTTCCGCATTCTTAACGAGGAGCAGGACGGCAGACAAACGACAGAACAGCTTCAAGTTCTTATGATTACATCACAACATGGCGAAGGCTTAATATTTCCAAAGGTACTTGAAATGAACTGTTGCCGTTCTGATCCTTCTAGTTTCTGGTTCGATAAGACGGGACATGAAGTTACTAGCTTCGTCTCGCTCTTTCAGATATTTGATGTTTGCGTTCGTCTCTTTTAACAGGGAGGCTGGGAGACGGATGAGACCGCTGAACAGGCCGCGTGCCGAGAAGCTATGGAAGAAGCTGGGGTTCGAGGGATTATACAGGTGGGAAAGCTAGAAGCAGCTGTTTTATCTTTCCTGAAAATGCTTTATCTAACCGTACCTTCTGCGTTATTTACATTGCGATTGCGTGATGCAGGGCAGAATAGGTTCGTGGATGTTCAAGAGCAAGCGATTACGCACTGCCGAGTGTAAAGACGGAGAGTGCTGTGCGCACATGTTCAGCCTTGCTGTAACCGAGCTGCTCACTGTCTGGCCCGAAATGAGCCGCCGTAGCCGTCACTGGGTGCGTCATGTGTGCTCTTTGCTAAGTCAGTTGATTAGTAACCTTATTTCCACCTTTTCGTCATTACCTCTGCCCTTCTCTACCATTCCCGTCTTCGCGCCCGCCCATCAATCTCTCTCTATAGATTGCTTTCTAGTCCAATAAAGTAGTGCTCCTTGTCCTTTCCATTTCCTGGTGCCCCATATTATGATGCACATGGTGGATGGGGTGGATGATCATTTTGGTGTGTGATTGGCACTGATTGCCTGGTGTTTGTTCAGGTGTCAATACCAGAGGCCATACAGCGGTGTCGGCATGATTGGATGAGGGATGCTCTGCGGCAGTGGTGTGACCAGCAGCAGCCAGCGTTTAAGCTTCCGCCTACCTGATCACTCGCATACCCCTTTCACACGTCCACGATCCTCCTCCTCTCGCTTCTTTTATCCCATCATGTGGCTGGTTCTTGCTACGCTTGTAGCACCTGGTGCATTTCACATGAGTCCTTCACCATTGCTCCTTCATCTGCCTCCCTATGTCTATGTATTACATCCTGCATCGTGCTGCAGCAGGGATTCTCCTTCTCTCCTGCTGCATTTCTCTCCACTATACACATCCTCCACTCACCTTTTTCCACTGGCTTGATACCAGTACCATGTTACGTAGGTGGCAAGTTATTGCGTCGGGCATTGTTATCCTACTCTTTTGCTCCGCACCTGCTGATAGGAGGTGTCCAAAGCAAGCTCTTGTGTGGGCAGGAATGAATTAGGGCACAGAAGGCATGCGGCCGCTAATTCCTGTGCGCACCTGTATGTAGTAGCAGTGTATACATTTTGGTACTAACTTGTAGAGATGTATCCAACCCAGGCTTGAATTTGTTCAGCTCTAATCTGGCACCATATATTTGACAAAGTATTTACTGACAGGGTGTCAAGAATTTTCTCGCCATTCCTTAGGGAGACCTGCAACATCGCGTACAGCAACAGCCATTGTTCGCCCGTTACTGCTAACGGGGTTTGCCAACTTCGCGCGCACTGTTTTGCCAAACCACGCACTGCTGGCCCGGCCGTGTCGGCCTACGCTTCGGGACTAGCCCGAACCTCATTGCCAGCGCAGCACAAGCTAGCTCGCACGCACAGCGTTGCCGTTTGCATGTTTCGGGTATAAATGTTCGCTAATGCCTTCGCCCACATTTTGTACTTAGGGCGTATTCCTATCCTCCTATCAAGAAAACCTCTTATCAAGCTCACACTGAAAAATTCCCTAAACCCAAAATCTCTCGCTACTTTCACCAGGCAAAATGTGCATTCTTGATAGGAGGTTTCTTGATAGGAGGCCGTAGGAATACGCCCTCATTTGACACATTAGTGCAATCCTCGCTACCTCGATCCATTGCACTCATAACACCTTTCAACTGTAAACACCTGGATACCGGTATGGCCTCCCTAAGGTCTTACTTTAATTATTGGAGGAAACAATTGGGAGGGGGGTTCAGGGGTCTTTTCATTGAAAAAAAAAACCTACATACCGGGTGCATTTATAAGGCACATCTTTTTAAGAAGAAATTGTTAACGAGAGTGGAATATTGGCCCCGCCCTCGCTTGGGCAACACCGACGACTTGGTCGGATGTACGGGAGAAGCAGCCGACCGTTCGCAGTGAGGGAGCTACTCGACGGGCCTCGTCGAGCTGCAGGGCGTCATTGTGGGGTTCCCGTCGACCAGGGGTGCTCGACGGATGCAGCAGACTGGCCTGGGCGACGGGTGGGCCGTCCGGGAGGTCGTACGAAGTAGTTCGTCGACCTGCAGTTCGACTTGAGGGTCGACGGAGCAATCCGTCGACCTACAGCTCGACCGGGAGGTCGACGGAGCTGCCGGTCGACCTACAATTTGACTGGGGAGGTCGACGGAGCAGCCGTCGACCTGACAAGTGAGCAGCGGTCGACGAGGGGAGCTCGGCGACATCAGCTGTCAGGCCTGGTCGGCGAAAGGGGTCCGTCGACTAGGGGGTATCTCGATGGGAGTTTTAGTTGACCAGGGGCACCTGATGGTCGACCAGAGGAAGCTGTGGTCGACCAGAGGCACCTGGTGGTCGACCAGAGGCACTGGTGGTCGACCGGAGCACCTGGTGGTGTCCGGGTCGACCGGGTAACCTGCTCGACGAGTTCTGCGGAGGCACGCGAACGTCGTCGAGGTCGCGATGGCGAAGGCGACTTCGGGATGGTATCCCGAAGTCGATATGGCTCGACAGGCGCAGACAACAGCCGACGGATGCACAGCAATGCAGGTCGAGCCAATCGTCTGCGCGCACCTGCGAGCGTGCGCACTGCTGTCTTCTACAGGGCAACGCTGGACGGGCTCAGCTGCAGCGTTGGCACGCCGTCAACCTGCAGTGTTGGCAGGTCGCTCTTCTGCAGTGCTGGCGCGGCTCCTCTACGCAACGCTGGCAGGCGGTCGACCGAGCTGTGCTGGCGGTCGACCAGGCTAGCTGCAGGGTTGCTAGGTGCCTGATGTAGTCATTGTTATTATTGCTTCTTGATTCATTCTATATTATCAACTTTGCTAGTGGAAACTCTTGCCGATTTCTCCCGTGAATGTGCAAGTGCTAAGGAACGCAAGCAAAGCTACAATCACTCCTAGTAGTTCGTGCCAACCCCCCGTAGTCTAGCTAACGACTGTTTTAGAGTGAATCTCCGCATGGTGCGGTGAGCGTGGATGGCTCCGCAAATCGCCTTCAGATAGGAGCCGACTTTTGCACCTACTAAGTCGTTCGTAGGCCGGCAGCAGCGTTAGTCGTCATGGTCGACCCCGTTGTAGAAGCGGGCGTAGCGGACACCTTGGAGACACGCTTGGCTGATGGGAGGAGACGCTATGCTCATGGCGAGTACGGAACGATTCCCTTGACGATCGTCGAGTTGGGCATCCCGGAACCCTGGGTGACGGATTACCCTTCGAGTCCTGCATCTCCTCGACCGGTGCGAAACGAAGGTGGCGTCGACGACGAGGTCGACGGCGGTGCTCGAGTCAGCGGCAATGAAGGCACGAGACAGACAGGGGTGATCAAGGTCGACGGTCGCGTCGACAGGAGTCAGGCGCGAGTGCAGCGGTCGACGGCGGCTGCAGGCATCTCGCGTGTCGACGTCGATGGTCGACGTCGCTCTCCTCTGCGGTTGAGGCCTCTCATCGACAACGCACGTGACGACGGGTGGGATTGCACCGGCGTATGGCTACTTCAAGTTCTCGCCGGACCGGATCACCGTCGCCCCGCTGCAAGGTCGACGGGACCTCATCACCTGGAGGGAGTCGATAGAACCTCAGCTGGAGGTCGCCGGGCTGAAAGGCTTCGCCGACGGCACCGTGCCCATTCCGCCCGCTCGAGGAAGATGTCGAGCTGCGCGGGGAGTTTCGTGCTGCTTTTTTTCTCACCTTCATGGTCATCTCGCGATGTTGCTCGCCGGTAGTGCAGTTAGCGCTCAGGAGCTGTCGAGAGCGACTCGATGCTGGCCAACGCCTCCTTGCAGTCATTGGTCCATTCGAATGCTGCTTCATTCTGTCGACGTACCAGGTGAAGGATGACCTGTACATCGGACAGTTGGAGGAGAAGATGACTCATATACGAATGGGCGAGCAGGAGTCGGCGACGGACTACTGCAACCGTGCTCGACGGATCCTGGCTGAGATGCGGATGGCGGGCGCCGAATACTCGACGGCGTCCTACATCACCCACGTCGTCAAGGGCCTGCTGCCCAACTACAACCTCATGAAGAGGATGATGATGGTGCCCGGCACGCGTGAGTCCCTCGACGAGGACTCCATCACCAGCTACATCCTTCAAGACGAGGCTATGCAGGAGGCAGAGCAGCCCACGGAGCTCCTTCCGCAGGCGAGCTACGCTGCACCGACGAATCGTCAGCAGGGGCAGCGCGGGAAGCCCAGCGGAGGTGGTAGCGGAGGTGGGCGGTCGAAGGACGTCGACGAGAAGAAGTCAACGTGAGGCAAGGGTCGTGGAGGTGGTGGTCGACGGCGGGAGTGCTGGATCTGTGGCGACCCCGACCATCTCTCCTTCGAGTGCCCCGACCGCGACGACAGCGACGAGGACGACAACAAGGGAGGCCGCGGTCGATCGGCCAGTCGTCCACGTCGAGATGAGAAGCCGCGCAAGGAGAAGGCGGCGTCAAAGAAGACGTCGTCGATGAAGGAAGTTGACAGCTCCAGCGACAAGGACCGAGGCGACGGAGAGGCATCGAGCTCGATGGTCGGCGTGGTCGAGCCGACGGTCTCGCTGGCGCCGGAGGCTAGCGAGGACTTCCAGGCAGTGGCGGCAGCTGTGCAGGCCAACCCGATGGCGGTGCTGCTCGACAGCGGATGCTCCCACCACCTGATGGGGACAAAGGAGGTCTTCGTCGACATGGGGCCGAGCGACGGCGTGAAGCACGTGCGTGGCTACAACGGCGCACTGCAGCCCGTTGAGGGTCGCGGAACCGTCGCCCTTGAAGGGGAGGCCGGGAAACAGGTCCTCATCCCCGACGTGCTCTACGTTCCGGGCGTACAGGCGAACCTGCTGTCAGCTGGCCAACTGAAGGAGAGCGGAGTGCAGCTGCAGGGCGACGGCGATGATATGCTGCTCGTCACAACGACCGGGGAGGTGCTCGGTCGAGCACGCTACACTGGACGGGTCCTCTGCACCGACCTTCGCCCTTGCTTGATGCGGTCGCCGTCGACCGAGGTGGTGGCTCTACGGACGATCGTCTCGGTGACGACAGTGACTCCCGACCGGCTGCACGCGAGGCTCGCGCACGTCGGCATCGACACGATCAAGAGCTCGGCGAAGCATGAAGTTGCTACTGGGCTCGACATCACGCCGTCGACCGGAGCAGACCTACCGTGTGTCTCGTGCGTCGGAGGAAAGCTGGCGCGACACACCTTCCCCGACAAGGGCTCGGACGCCGAGGAGGCACTGGCTGTCGTGCACATTGACTTGTGCGGGCCATTTCGAGTGGCTGCCAAGGATGGCAGCTTGTACTTCCTGCTGCTGAAGGATCGCCACACTCGATTCGTGTGGGCGATGCCGGTCGCTAAGAAGAGCGACGTGCTGCGGGAGTTCCAGAAGTGGCTGGTGCTGGTGGAACGGCAGACGAAGAAGTCGGTACTGTCGCTCCGCTCTGATCGGGGAGGGGAGTTCCTCGGACGGGATTTCACCACCTTCGTCGACGGGAAGGGCATCGTCCACGATCTGACGTGCCCCTACACTCCGCAGCAGAACGGCATGGCTGAGCGGGAGATGCGCACGATTGTCGAGTCCATGAGGACGATGCTGCTGCACATGGGCGTACAGCACCACTGGTGGCACCTCGCTCTTCGACAGGCTGTCTGGGTGCGCAACTGCTTGGAGCG